AGTTATTTATAGTCTGTCTCGCCTCCTAGTCCTAATATACTAGGCTTTTATCTTGTCTAGTGCCTTTTAGATAGTCTGTTAGGCTAGGTATTCTATTGTCTTTGCTACATATTAGTATCTTAGTCCCTTGAAGTATTGTTTGACTAGTAGGATCCCTAATTCTATTTCTACTACCCTTATAGGTGTAGTTTTATATGCTCCTAGGATTTTCTTTAGGCCTTAGGTTTAGGACCTGCTAACTAGTTGCTCGATCCTCTTTAGTGTTTTCTCCTAGGCTATCTATATCTATACTCTATATAGCATTGCTAGCTTAACAATTGCTTTGTATATAACTTTAGCTTTCTCGAATGTAGCCCCCTATATAGAGGCTATAAGCCTATTAATAGATTGCATATTAGTATCTGCCCTCTGCTTTGCCTTCTTTACTTATAGTCCCTAATTTAGTTTTAAGTCTAGCTAGATCCCTAGTACCCTAAGCTCTACTAATAGTTAGGTTTTAAAGCCTTAGATAGTAATTGATTGCTTTATATTATAGGTTGATTTAGCCTTACTAAAGTAGATAAGCTAGTATTTTTCTAGGGCGAATTTTGCTCTATATCTCTTTACCTATTTTTCGCACTCCTAGTGCTTCTCTTCTAGGATCTTGTAGTTGGTTTCTATTATCCTAGACTAGGCTAGGATGTTTGTGTTATCTATAAACCCTAATGCTAATATGTTTCTTAATTCTAGGAGTAGGAGTAGGTCTACTATAAAGATAAGGAAGAGGATTAGGGAGAGTATTGATCCTTAGGGGATTCCCTTTTTAGTTAGTATTAGGTCTAATTTGAATTTGCCTAAGATGAGCTATATTAACCTTTCCTATAGGAAGGACTAGATGAATTAGACTATCTAGTTTAGTATAGCCTTCTGTTTAAGTATATATAGGAGCCTTTTATAGGAGATATTGTTAAAGGCTCCTAAGATATTAAGGGAGAGGAGGGTTGCTACCTAGTTTTAACTATAGTGCTAGATATACTTAATCTGTTCTATAATTAGTTCTATAGCTATTAGTATTAACCTCTTCTTTCTTCCTCCTATCTAGCCTTTAGGAAGGATATTCCTTTCCTCGGTAAAGGTTATTAGCCTTTTAGCGACAATTTTTTCTAGTACCTTGCCTATTATATTAAGTAGGGCTATTAGTCTATAGGCCTTAAGCTGCGTATAGTCTTCCTTCTAGGGCTTCCTTAGCACTACTATTAGGGACTTCCTAAATAGTCTTAGGTAGTGTCCTAGTGCTAGGCTTTATAAAAAGATATTGGTTAGTGCTAGGGCTAGCCCCTTCTTATATACTTTTAGAAGTTTGTTGTAGATCTTGTCTTCTCCTAGTGCCTTATTGCCTAGGATTTTCTTTAGGATCCTTTTAATAGTTTCGGGTTTGACCTAGGTGTCTCTTAGTATGCCTAGTAGTAGAGTCTCTTATTCTTTCTCCTTTATATCTAATAGGTCTGCTTGTACTTTTCTATAGAAGAAGTGTTAGCCTAAGGCTCTTACTTTCCCTTCTATTATAGTCTACATTTGTCCTTGTTAGTCTATAATGTCCGGGAATTGTAGTAGCATGTCTTTATCCTATTTAGGTCTCCTTGCCTATTTAGCTATCCTCTATATCTCCTCTAGTTTCTTTGTAATTATTCCTATTATAGATCTCTATTCTTGTATCTTATCCTTCTTAATCTAGATCTTCTTTTCCTAGTAGGCCTTATTATAGTTGTCCTATACTTCCTAGGTATAGGTTTGTATCTACTGCCTCCTAGCCTTCCTTGCTACTTTAACCTTCCTTATATACTTACTAGTCTAGTATAGTTGCTAGTATAGTGAATGTTTCTTTGCTAGGGTATGCTTTCTAGCTACCTGTTTTAGGATTCCTATTAGTTCTTCTACTGCCTTATTAATATCCTCCGGCCTTAGGAGGTGCTTTATTAAGAGTTCCTCTAGTTTTAGGTCCCTTTCTAGTTCCTCCCTAATCTTGTCCTATTAGGTACCTTTTTAGTTAAGCTTCTCCTCTAGTTCCCTTTCCTAATTAGCTTAGACATTTAGCTTAATCTATACCGGGAAGTGGTCTAATAATTCTTCTAGCTCCTAGTTAACCCTGTATCTTGTAATCCTATTCCTAATCTAATGTAATGCAAAGCATAGGTCTAGTATGCTACTGCTTCCTCTTGCCTCCTAAGTAATTAGTCCCTTTAGGGTAACAATTTCTATTCCTTCCCTCTCTAATATATTAATTAGTCTTCCTACTAGGAAGTGGTAAGCTAGGGTAAAGTCTGAGCCCTAGAGGGGGTAGTAGAGGTTGAAATCCCTAAGTAGGATTTAGTAGGTGTTCCCCTAGATAACTCTAGGTAGTCTTTCTAGGGTTTTTAGTTAGGTACTACTTCTTAAGTCTAGTAGTAGGTTATATATACAGTAGACTTAGAGTATACCTTAGGATGTCTCTACTTAAACTAATGTTAGGTCCCTATCCTCCTATAGTATAGCCTACTAGGTTTCTGTATCTATCTCCTTACTAATATAGATGCATATCCTTAGGGCTCCCTAGTTGTAGATAATTAGATAGTATCTTGGGTCTTTAACTATTACTAGTCTCTTTATGTATAGGTTAAGCTAGGGCTCTTAGATTGCAATAATATAATGTTCTTTTAGGTTTAGTGCTTAAAGGAAGCTCCTCTATACCTTGTCTTTGCTCTTGTTGATATTGTACTATATAATGTTCAGTAATGTTACAATGTTTATTAGGTTTTATCTATATTATTTCCCTATAAGTTTTCCTTTAGTCTTCCCTTACTTTAAACTAACATTTAACTAAGCTTTATCTGCCCTACTTCCTTTCCTGCAATATTAAGGTATCTTAGTCTCCCTAGTTGCTAGTAACTCTCTTATGCTAGTAAGGCCCTAAATGTAAACCTATTATCTTGTCTAGACCTCTTTTATAGCACTTAGCTAGGTTGCTTCTGCACCTAGCTGCCCTAGCTTATTGTGTATCTTTTTAGTATATTAATTCTAGCTTCCTTTGCCTTCCTAGCTGCCTGTATTCTTACTAGGCATTCCTTCGCCTAAGAGGGGTGTCTTTTAGTATAGTATGTATATCTTGCCTCTCCCTTTTATACTTTATATTCTTTAACCTAGTAATCCCCTATATAATAGGAGTAGGTGTTAGTTGTCTTTATGCACTTAGCTGCTAAATGTCTATAGTATTAACATTTGAAGCACTGTATTATCCTATAGTTGCTTCTATATATCTCTGTTTCTAATCTTTTAAAGTCCTAGAATAACCCCTAGTCTAGCACTATATTAGCTTGCTCTATACTCCCTACCTAGATAATTAGGGAAGACTACTTCTTAGTCTCTTCAATTTTCCTTTTAATCTATACTACTTTTGTAATCTTTAGGCCTAGGTATATAGCTTAGTTTTGTCTCTATAGGCTCTTAATATCCTATTCTTCCCTAAAGCTTCTTGTTATACTATTGGCTACAATTATAAATTGCTATTAGGAAACCTTTACTGTTTTCCCTATCTTAGTTGTCTATCCTTTTTGTGTTTCTAGCTTCTTTTTGTCCTACTCTTATACTATAAACAGCTTAATTACCCCTTTACCTTCGTTCCTAGCCCTAATTACTTCTTTAACTGCAATTCTTTCTATAATCTCTTTCCCTATAAGTCCTTAGATTTCCTTTTACTTCTATAGGTCCGTAATATAGACTCTAACTACTGTCCTCGGGGGTTTTAGCGCCTCCTAACTAGCTACTGCTACCTAGGTATAGTAGTTTGAGCTTATCTCCTATTGTTTCTTCGTAATCTTTGCTGCGACTATATTAGCTACCTTTATAATTACGTAGCTTGCCTAGCTGTAGATTGCTTTTAGTCCTCTAAGGAGTTCTAAGATTATTATCCTATATACCCTCTTAGGGGTTCTTCTATCTTCCGCCTTTAGTACCTCCTCTACCCTAGTATATAGTGCTTTCTATTCGTCCTCCCTTCCTTCTTAACTATCTTCCCTTCGTCTCTAATTGTTCGCTGCTATTTTCCTTTCTTTTTATTGTTTAATCGTAGGCGTTATTTTATTATATATAAGGATAGCGCAGTTAGAGTTAGACATTGTATTATATTAGAGGTAAGGTTTGATATAGTTATATAATCGGTAATTGCGTGTTTAATTTAACGCGGACTAAGAAGCTTACTAGACCTACTAAGTTAGTAGCGATAGAGGTTAAGAATGTAATATAGACCGGCTACGAGGGCGCGGCCTTTAGAAGGGAAGCGTATATTAGGACTAAAGAGGTTACACGCGATTAGTATGTAACTAGGCTCGAGTGAAGCTAGGGTCTTGATGCCTTAGGCAGGGCTTGGCGCTTAGCGTTAGGCTAACTAGCCTGCCTTCCTCCCTCTCCTCTTAGATCTCTATCGAATACTACCTATACCTACTACTACCCTATCTACCTGCTAATATACCCTTCTTACAAGTTACTATAGCTATTTATTAATAACTCTTTTATATATATTCTACTTTTAAAGAAATTATAAGTATATGCTTTTATAGCTACTAGCTACTAGTAGTAGCTAGTAACTTATATAATTACAATTAATCTAGGATTATATTTTACAATCTAGATTACTAGAAGGGTTAGATTAAATTAGATTAGATTGCTTTTAGAGAGGGTTAGATTAGATTAGATTAAATTACTAAATTAGTAGAGATTGGCTAGATTAGATTAGATTAAATTGCTAAGCTAATCCGGATTACAATCCCGGATTAATTATAGACTATACTAGTTTCTTCTAGACTTTTAAGGAAGAAGGACCGGACCGGAGATTTTCGCGAAACCGGTACGGTTAGGTTTTTACGAGGAGTGTAGGGGGGGGGGGGGGGGGTTGATTTAGATCGGAAGTTGATTTGATTTGATTAATAAGCATTGAGGAGTCTTGTTAGAAGGAAAAGGGATAAATGAATAAGGAAAAGGAGTACGGAGCAAAAAGAAAACAAGTATTTCTATAGCCCTAAAAAAACACCTGAAAAGGCTGAAATCTACATACATTCGATAAAGGGAGTATAAAGCGAGGTATTCACTCAAACTTCCTCTTCGGCTGACTCTTCCCCGCTTCCTACATATATCATATCATATCATGCATTCACTTCAAATTAAAACTCCCCACGAGCGGCGTATCAAGCACACTCCTCCCAACAAAAACATTAAACTGCCCATTGGGAACAACCCAAGTCTGATTGTTAATATCCCAATATGAAATATCCTTCCGTCTCAAATCAAACACCACATCCCATCGCTGACCGGGCGTGAGTTGCTGTTTCTTGAAACCCCTCAGAGTCCTGGTATTCGGCATACCCGACAAAGCGCCGTCAGGGACGGGGATTTCCAAGTATAGTTGCGCGACTTCCGAAGCGGTGTGGGAACCATTGTTAACGATGGTGGCGGTGATGTTTCCGACGGATTCAAAGAGAGGTTCGTAGCCGCCAGACGTCATGTTTTTGTTGACGGTGTTGTCGGTGGTGCCGTTGGCGTAGACGGGTGAAGTGCTGGCGGTGTTGATGGTGGAGTTGACGTCCATGTGAACGCCGAGGGAAGAGTAATCGAAAGAGCTGTAGGTGAGGCCGTAACCGAATTCGTAGCGGGGAGCGACGTTGCGAGCGAGGAAGTATCGGTAATCAATGTTGACGCCTTCTTCGAAATCGCATTGTGGGTCTCGGGAGGTGTCGATGCAGGGGCCTTGAAGCGAGCGGTAGTCGCCAGGTTTTTTGGCGACGGTGTAGGGGAGTCGGCCTGAGGGGCTGACTTCTCCGTAGAGGAGGCTAACGATTGAGCGGCCGGCGTCTTGGCCTGGGAGGTGCGCGAAGATGACGGCTGTGACGTTGGTGTTGTCGATCCAGGCGTCTACTACTCGTGGACCGGCGTTGTGGATCACGACGATGGTGTTGTTGCAGGATCTTGCGACGCTCTTCACTAGGTCATCTCCATCGGGGTCGGCCAGGTTTGGTCGATCCCAGTTCTCAGAAGCGTAGTCGTTAATGAACACCAGACATGCGTCGGAGTCTGTGACTACACCAGGTGCTGTCGATTCGCTATCGAAGAAGATGGCGGTATCGTCGTAGTAAGCCTTATTCTGTAGTGCGTCGTATGGTGTACTGATGTAGGCCGGAGTGTTAGAACTACTACCTCCGCCGACAAAAAGTGTGCCCATAGCTTTGGAAGGTGCATTGTCGACGATCTCATTCATCGCAATCTGCCGTTCCTGTGACTGCTGGAGTTTTACAGTCTCCCGGTTCTTGGTCCAATCTTCGGTACCAGGCATGAAAGAACTCTGTGCAACGGCTGACCAGCCGAAGACCGACAGCAGTCGAGGTTTCTTGAGTGGCAAGGCACCCTTGATATTCTTGACAAGAACGTGCCCTTCAATGGCTTGTTGCAAGATAGACGGCTTAGCAGCGACGTCTCGCGCGTCGATATAATCATGTGGTGCCAATATGTCGGCTGGCATTCCAACGCCCATCGGTGGGAAATTTGGGTTATCCTGGCCGAGTTGATACCATGTTGCCACAATTCTCGTCGCCATGTCGACCAGACGACTTTGGTTGAATCCTTGTGTTGCCGCAGCCAATTTTCCATTGCCCCAGTAGTCGCTAGAGGGCATGGCCATGTCCAGACCAGCGTTTGCAGTGGCCAGGTCGCTGTGCTGTGCGGCCCAGTCAGAAACAACAAAGCCTTGGAAGTTGAGCTCGCCTTTCAGCAGGCCATTGATGGTTTTGCTGTTCTCGCATCCATAGGTGTTGTTTATTCCTGATTTGCTGTCAACACTTGCAGACAAAAGCTTGACGAATGACTGGCTTACTCTGGTAGCTGCACATGACACTGCCCACTCCTGCGAGTACTGCCTCTTGGAAAGGCCACAAGTAACATTCATGCATCGTTCGGTCGTCAACATTCGCGCTCGTAGCGAGCACTGTTCCATCATCGTTCGAGAAGGGATTGCGATTCGTTTCCTGCCTGCATGACTTGTGAGCATGTATCCACTCCCATCTTACAGTTCGTCTCACTCATAGGCAATAAAGTGTTTGACAGATGCGATCACATTTTGCTGTAGACCCATGATTGTTGCCGCACCGAGGACTCCGTCCATGAAGGGATCAGCGGCAAAGCCTTCCCAGTTTCGGCCACCAGAAGCGACTCTGCCAAGAGGACCCACGACAGGCCCGAGTGCGACGTTGATGCCCTTTTTCTTGAATTCGGCTCCCATGAACACCCCTCGTTCATATGCCATCGATGCATTCCACGATGCGCCAACGGAGATGCCGGATGCATAAGCGTTGACGCCATCGGTTTCTCGCACGCCATTGCCGGCATCATGTAGACACAGACCGGGAAATCCAGCTTTGAGGGCTGTGCCCGTGATACCAACACAGCCTGTATGCGTGGTCGGATAGCCCACTGTGATATTGTTCATTTCCTCGGGGCTCATCTTCGCAACCATGGCTTTCGCTTTCTTATAAGACTCGGTCCAGTTACCGGCGCCATAGCCTTGCGCTGTACGATATCAGTGTCTCTCCACGACGACGGTCACTCCTCTGGCATTGGAACATACGCGAAGGAAAGACGCCTGGAGACGTCCATTTTGCATAACCGCCATGAGTGTGCAAGGCGAGCAGGCCGAGGAGCGGCAACAACACGATGCCCAGTCCAATTCCCATCGTAATCAATCTGTGTTGCAGACACCAGTTGCAAGCGGTCGCCCGAACGTTGCCTTTTAGCAATGGAAGTCGCTCTTTGGCTTTGGCAGCCTTCTCGTCCATTGAGGAGCGGACTGTCGATGAATTAGGTTGGCATAAGTTCCACGTCGTCGAAAGCCAGCAGCATGTGATGATGTCGGCCGCCGAGCATTTCTTGGACACAACGCTAGTCGAACAACGGGAATGGAAGAGGAGTGATGGTGGTGGTGCGAAGGGGGGCGGGGCGGAAGCGACAGCGCGGCTAATTTCCTTGCGATTGCTGTGCTCGTACCTGTAACTACTTTTGCCTTCTGCTGCATCCAGGGCAAACACAGGCGTCGTCGGGGCAGCCCGCTGCTTCCCCACGGCCCACCCGCAAGCCCGCCCGGGGATCCCCGCTGAAACGCGCCAAGACCGAACGTTGGTTCTAAAGCGAGTCGAGTCGACAACATCGTCCTTCGAGTCGCCCGAAACGCGCAGAACAGGCCGGTGAGAGTCATGCGCTACGCCGCCGCCATCATCAGTGCTCGCAACGGATCGATATCGATGTCGCTGTGAGCACTGCACACATCATCGTCTTCTCCTGCTGTCGAAGCTCTGGCAGGCCATACGCCCTGGTCCTGGTTGTTGGCTGGGCCAGATGCAGGAACAACAAGAGGAGTCGGTCCCTGGTGGTGCCTGCAGCACAGACGGACACCTGTTGGACGGTTGGACCTCTCCTCGAATGCATGCTTGTAGCACCGCACAGGTCGTTGGGACACTCTATCGCAACGCCCAACAGAACTTATTATTGTTACCATGGCCATCCGGCATGACCCGTGAACCCAGTTGCTTCGAATCGACTACGACTGGAAAGGCCATGATCACACTGCATTAGTCACGAGCTATCCATGAGAGCGATCAATGCCGATCATCGCGTCTACAGATCCTTCTTTAAACCACCTTGGCCTTGGAGAAGATAGGTACCTCCTCAAAATTGTGATTCCAATGCAGTCCTCCGTGCTCGTCAATCTCAGCCGCGTCATCAGTGGTCGTGATGCCTTCTCTCTCGTTCGCTGCAATCTCCTGTCGGGATATGCCGTGACAGTCGCGCGGTATCCATAACTTCGGCGTCTTCGAGGTAAAGGCAGGTGCAACATAAGCTTTCTTGATGTCATCTTCGCTGAATTGCACCGAGTCGTCACTTGACCCTTGATCCGGTCGGAGCCAGCTACCAGCCTTCGCGCGCGAATCCGAGATAATGGAATCAAAGAAATCAGATAGCCACCTTGGCATGGGATTGGGCAGCTTCTTCAAGCCAAGTCGTCTGCCATGAGCAGAGGCGTGAAGATCTGCATCGTCGGTGGTGTCGCCGCCGTCTTCCTCAGCTAGCAAGCGCTCCTGCTCTGGCTCAGACCATTGGTCCACACCGAGGTACAACTCCAACGGGCGAAGCATCCTATCCAGCAACAGATTGCCGACTGCGGTAAGAACCAACAGTACAATCATGAGTGTCGTCTGGGCAGCAGCCTTGCGAGCACCAAACAAGCCAATCAATGCCAGTTCGGCAAGGTAGAGACCAGTCGGCATCTGCTGCAAGGCGCGCTTGTAGGCCTCTCCCTTGGTATCAGTCTTGGTTTGTCTGACGTATAGCAAGCTGTACCGATATGACAGGTAATAGAAGTACAGCCCGATAGCCGCAAAGCCCAGCGTCAGCGGCTGAATGCATGAATATGCGACAGCGATGATGAGGAAGTTGGTGAACTTTGGATACCACGCTGCCCACGGCGTGCCACGCATTTGAGCATAGGTTTGGAATTTGTCGCGTGGAGTCTTGTCCCAAAAGTACTCATAGAACAGATACTCCAGCGTCTCCGAATAGTCCAGCAGGTTTGACGCCGCGCTTGTTGTTCCTTGAAGGATGAAGTATGTAAGGTAGAAGTTCGAGGCTTTCGGCAAGCTTTCAGCCAGAAGATCTGGAGCCGACTTGGGATCTTTCGCGATCTTCGTTGCAACAGCGGCTGCTCCGGACGAGAAGGTGGTGACCAAGAAAACCTGAAAGACTTGGAATACCATGTACCACGCTTGAGTCTTCAGCTCGGCTTGAGGCACGGTCGGTTCGCCAGATAGCTTGGCGATATGGCGAAAGAGCTTGGGCACATACGAGACAAACCAGCTCGTCAGGAATGGTGGTACGAAGCCTACCAGCAGTCCAAGAATCCAATCAGGAAGGTCTTGCAGCCACTCCAGCCACTTCACTCGGTCTGACAATTCCTTGACATTGCTAAGCGTACCGATAAGGCCGACGGGGATCGAGAAGAAGATCGTGAATGCTATCACGAACGCTAGAGCCAGGGACGCCTTCGAGGCACGGACAGCCATTGGCATCTGAATGTTCTTCCACAATACTTCTTTCGGCTGTACAGCAAGGAAACGATCTTCCAGTGGCACATGAGGATGGAACTTGATCTGCTGAAAAGCTCTGTGCGCGGCCTCTTGGCTAGCGAAAGCCACGAATACAGCTGACTCGGCTGGTATGTTTCTGCCTGGCGCTGACCGATGAGCTTCGAGACGTTCAACAGCATCCACGACATGTTTGCGTGCCTCATCTATGCGATCAACTTTGCTTCCGACGAGCATGGGTCTTTTCGCAGTCGGCCTGGCTGCTTTGGCAAGTGGCGAAAGCGCTTCTTCCTCGGCAGCGCCATGTGCGCCGTTGCTGGCTGGTCGAGCTTTGCTCTGCAGCTTGGTATATTTGGTAATGTAGTCCAGCTCGGCTGCTTCCAGGCTGTAAGCAGCGCCATTCCTCTTCTCAACCAAATCTTCAAGATCGCCCAAATCCTTCACAGGCCAACTGTGCTCTGCCTGATGGCCGAAATGTTTCTTGAGGCTTTCAGGACGCGCAGCCTCTGCTGGCACATTCATGAACAGCACTGTTCTCGCGGACAGCCTTGAAGCATAGGTCTCGTTCAGGTAATATGCTTGCCGAATGCCTATCAATTGCAGACGCTCAGCGGCAATGGCGGCCAAAATGGCGAGGAAAAACAGCCATGCCACGACAGTATGTCCCCATAGATGGTCATTCTTGGCAATGTTGCTGAAACTGATGCTGTCCAGTTGACTGGCATTGCCTCCACCCGTGGCATTGACGGGGAAGAGGATGGGCCAGGTCAAAAGAGCGCCAGCAAGGCAGATGTAGATGATGAACTTGAGGAATCTCAGATAAAGGTAGGCGTCGAGTGAATTGTGCTGCAGCACGAAGCGATCTGACAGATTTCGAAAGTCCCGAAGCCATGATGTGCCACGGGCAGTGGAGGAGGGTGTCCTGTCTTTCTCCGGTATGGTTCCAAGAAAAGTCCGTGGCGCGTAGACTTTACGGAAGCAGTTCCGCACAAGCAGGAAGGCGACGACGTTGATGGCGGCGATGATGAATGTCGGGATGAAGACGCCGAGGATTGCAGCGAGCGATGTTGACTCTTCTCGCCGATTCTTGCCATAGCCACCGTCCTTGAGGATGGAGAACATGGTTGCCAGTGGATAAACGTCGGAGTTTCCACGTGATCCTGGTATTGGGGAGCCACTCGCTGACTACTGAGCTGAGCGTAGAGAAGCAGACGGCGGGTGCTTCACATTACTATGAGCATTTGATGCAAAAGGATGGCAGTCGCAGGTGAATCGAGCGTGGAAGTCACGGTTCAGAAACCAGTTGTTGCCTGGAGGTTGCTCCTTCCGCCCATACGTCATTTTCGCGTGTAACACGACCGATCGGACATCACACTGAGCCACTAAGGCCTGCACTCGGGTGGGTACGAAGGAGTGAGATGTGCTCAAGATCAACGACGGGAAGAGCGAACGGAACACCTTACGATTCAAATGCAACCATCTCCAAGAGACCCCTCATCGTGCAAAAGCTGCCAAGTTCAACACCAGATGTGCTATTCCGACCATGAGTCAATATCATACCCATCATTAACCCGCCGCTGTGTACGCGTCACAAAACAACAACAATCTCTCCCCTCTCGTTCCTCCTCAACCGCAAACTCTTCCACAGCGCCTTGTCTTCCTCGTCTTTCTCCCTCTCACCCCTGACGTCGCGTTCCCGGTGATATCTCTTCAAGACCTTGTTGATCGAAAGACCATGCTGGCTTTCGGGACCCTTGGTGACAAGACTCAAAAACAGCTCGGCTCGAGACTGACTATATGCCACAATTTGGTTGCGTGCAGTCGCTTGGACGGACATGGGCCGCTCGTACTCAATTGCTGCTTGACGACTCTTTCTGCTAGCTCGAGCGCGGTCTTCGGATGAGAAGGAATCTTCGCGGTGGCTGCGGCGATGGTGTCTTCGTGCGCGTTCGCGTTCGCGTTCGGGACTGCGACTACGTGCGCGACGCTCCCGGTCCCGGTCGCGCTCGCGCTCGCGCTCGCCATCTCTTGAGGTCGTGCTTGTGGAATACGATACGTACGAGGATTTTCTACGATCCTTCTTCGATTCCCTCTCTTTCGGCTCAGAAACAGAAAGCAGATCCTTGTCTCTTTTGCTGCGTTTCGAAGGGCTAATCGGTGTGGGTCCAGCATCGATGCGATCTTCGTAGAATTCGCTGTCTGTCACGAGTCGTCCAAGACCACCAGTCAACCCAGAATGTAGAACTCTCGCGCCAGTCGAGGGAGCATCGAGCATTGGCTGATCTCGTGACACGGGTCGCTTTACGCTTGACAAGTCGAGATCCTCCACATTGCGTTTCCGCTTTTTGTCGCTCTTCTCTGTCCCTCGCTTCTCCTTCTTGTCCTTCTTCTGCTCTTTCGGTGCAGGCGTTACGAACGACTTTTGCGGGTGGCTCAGATTGTGGGACGAGTCATAGCGTTCGAAACTCGGCTGTAGAGGCGCATTGCCATATGAGTATCCGCGAGACAGATACGAGGATCCTTCACCATTTGACAAGTGCGAGTCGGCCACAGCATAAGGAGTAGCCTGTTCCAACATCTTCCTCTCATCCGGCGCACCAAGCTGCGCTGCCTTCGGAGTCGCATCTTGCACCAGAAAGTCAAACACATTGACATTCTCCAGCTCTGCAGCAGGTTGTGGTGGCGTGGGTGCTCTCGGAGGAACATCGATGACCGCCACAGCATTCATATCGTCCCCCTCCACAGCATCCTCAACATATGCTTTCGGCACCATTGCCCGCGACATAGACTTCCTCTTCTCAGCTTTGTTACTCTTCCTATTCTCCTTCTCAGGTCGATGGTACTGGCCGTAGTACTTCTCCGACTCAGTCATGCAAGAAGTATGCGCTTGGAAAGAACCGTTAGGGAAGGTGGTCATGCAATCGATGCACGATACCGGGGCCCAACACTGGTTGTAGTGTTGGCTGAGCTTCTTCTTTGTGAGCACGTCGCCGCAGCCTATACCACTGTATTAGCAGGAGAGAAAAAGGGTGTGGAAGGGACGGACAACATACCTTCGCATTGAAAGCTGACCATGGTGGGCGACAGCGTGTGAAGGAGCGCTTATATGAGGAGGGGTATAGTATGGATATGCCAGTCAGGAGGCGAGCTCACGCGGTGGTGGTCGTGGTCGTGGTCGTTGTTCGTTCGCGTTTCATGTGATCCTCGGTGCTAGACAGAAAGCTATTTTGAAATTTACGCGACAGGGTCTCGGAACGCTTCTTATTTGAGCCAAAATTCGTTGTTGGGGCGACGACAGTCGATGGTGATCTTTGTGCGACGACACTTCAACTCATCTTCACACTGTTCATCATCATTATTGATATAACATCGATTTACTCTACGATATCTGCAAGATGTAGTCGCCACGGCCAGGCTTCAACTTCACTCGCTGCATCCTGCGACAGGCAACCGCCGCCGCCGCCGCCGCCGCCGACCACTACTTCTCCCACGCACACTCGAGAATCAGGGGCGCGACCATGCGACATTAAAGCGCGTGCAGCACAATTTCGTCGTGTCGCGGCAGATCACTCCACGCGTGACTTGGCTTCTTCACACATGTTCCTGCATGACGACAAGCCGACCGCCGACGAGACTTGTCGTGAACGAACGAATATCGATGACGTTTCACGACCCATCGCGGTTGGTTGGTGGTCACTGTCTCGAATGGGAACTCTGGTCACGCAAAGAGAGCACTCTGCATTCTAGCTCTGACCTGACTACTTGTGGTGTCGAACTTGGCGACCAGCGCCATCATCCTCGAGAAAAACAAATCAACAACCCTGACCCTCCTGCTCCCACTTCTTCGCCTCGTCCAGCATCATCTTACCCGGGCCATAGAAGTATTCCAGAGCCTTCAGTGCCTCTTCACGGAATTCTGCCTCGATGGCTCCGTCGTTCTCGCCCCGGTTGGCCTCCGGAACCTGATACCGATCATCAAAGTCTTTCATGATGGCCTGCACAGTCTGCTTCAGCCTCGCCTCGACGTTCTCCAACCACTCCGGAATGATGACATTCTCGCACGAATGACTGACGGCAGAGCCCACGGCGCAGAAAACGTTTTCCGGGCCCGTATCAGTCACAAGCGCTCGAATGCGTCTCATGCGTTCTGCGTGAGGACCCGAGACTGCCTTGCCATTTCGACCTTTCACTTTCGCAGCTCTGCCACCGCTCTGCTTGCTGCGCTTGGGGAAGTCCTTGGCCTGCAATTTCGCGCACTCGTCGTATGTCTGTAGCATCTCTCCTCCCACGGCAGAGTTGTCGTCGTCATCATTGATGGTATCGGTGCGCACTTGGTGAACAGCTCTTATGAGACGCTCGAAAGCCGACTTGAGAGCCCAGAGCAAGTCGTCTTTGCCATCTTCCACAGCCTTGAGGAAGCCCGCACTGTTGGAAGCTGAATGGAAAGCTTTGTCATTCAGAGTTTCGCGCAGTGGAGCAAAGATCATGTCGATGATGTTGACCTGCATATTCCTCTGCAAAGTCTTGATGTCGTCTACGAAGCCATCGAATCCCTTTTGAAGCTCTTCGGAGAAGACGCTCTGGATCTCTTGGTTCCACGATGTCGCGGGTTGATTTCGCCCAGGCTTCCAGTGGCCGTGTCGACGACAATATGCCCGAAATGTTCCTCCTGGGAAAGTCTCCCACTTCTTGACGATAGGCTTGGCAGCAATGGGCCAGGTGCTGTTTTGATGCACGTCGAAGCGTCGTCCAATGTTCTCGGGAAAGGAACCCTTCAACTGGCCCTTCAGCAGATCGTGGATCGCCTTGCACTGATTTTCAAGAGTAGACTTGATTGAATTGCGAATCTCGTGGTGGCGTTCGAAGGAAGTCTTGCTGGTGATACTGATGATGTTCTCGAAGAGTCTAGGCAGCTTGCGCTGCACGATGTTGGAGAGAGTATCGATTCTCGCTACCGCCGGTTCACGGTAGAGCAGCTCGATGAGTTCAGGAAGACCTGTACCGTCTACGTCGAATTTTGGTGGAACTCCTCCCATGGGTGTGCCGTGCTGAAGTTTCTCGTAATCTGTTGAGCACGTAAAATGTGTCTTCAGATCAGGAGCATTCTTCGATCTGGTGATTTCTCGCAGCTTTCCGCGCATATCCTCATGAGTGTTTGCATTTCGACCAAGGACTTGGTGCTGGTAGAGCATGTTCGTGTCCTTCTGAATGACAACGGGTATTGTTTCGAGCTCCTGGTCGATGGCGCGCAGATGATCCTTCTGCTCGGTGTTGATGCCGTCCAGTGCATAGATGCGAGCTTTCTCTTCTACAAGGGTGTCTCGGCGCTGTTGAAGGTGGCGAATGTTCTCCTCAGTCTTGCGAACAGCGTCTCGTGAGGCCGCCGGGAGGTTCGCGTTGTTGGTAGCTCCACCCTGCACATCGATCTTTGTCAATACAAGCTGGGTGTTTCTTATCTTTCCTGCGCTATTGGCAAGTCGCAGATGGTCTCTAATATCGCTGCTCTGTGCACAGCGCGAATTTGGCGCGACGACCAGCACAGTCCCAGCCCTGTGGACATAGTTCTTCGTTGCATCGACAACTGTCTGGTTGGTGTCATCAAGCCCAGGTGTGTCGGTGACGATGACACCCTGATTAAGAAAGTCATTGTCGAGATGGACTTGTAATGTGCGAATCAGTGGCCATGGATGTCGTCCAGTGAGAGACTTTGGCGGCCTGGACAATCCTTCGTAGATTTCCTTCAGCTGCGCGACCGAGGAAGCGCCTTCCATTTCAATCTCGTTCTCGACACCTCGATCAGCCATATGAGCAGACGTAAGACCCATGAGCTTATCCACTGTTTCCGAGAGACTGCTATTCGCCCATTGATGCTTCATCCAATCACTGAACGCATCTTTTGTAGCAAAGTCATCGTCCTCATGGTCGCAGAGTATGGTGTGGAGGACATTGATGGCGTCGAGGAAGCAGTCGTTGAGCTCGTTTAGATCGTCTTCCTCCACGGAGTCCGGATCGGTCTCCTGTTGCTTTTCCAAGTCGAACAAGTCAAATACAGCGCGACAAAGCTTCATGGTGCGCTTCTTGATCGTGTCCAAAGGATAGTACAAGGCCTCGACGACGAAAAGCGTTTCTTGACCTTTCTTGAGGCCAACGAACTCGTGCACGATATTTGTTCCTCGCTCGGATGCGCTGGTCACAGCAATGTCAGGTATGCCTAGCAAAGCGCTGACCAGCTGAGACTTCCCAGCGCCCATGACTCCAATGAAGACGACTGGCTTCGTTTTGGGATACCTCTGCTTAGGTGTGCACGACTCAGATATCTTTTCGTAGACAATGTCCAGGGCGTCGTTGCTGTAACCCTCCTGCTTCCGCAATTGGTATAGTCGAAGAAAGCCGATGCATGCTTTTGGCACTTCCATCTCAACAACCTCGATCAAGGGATGATAAGCTGCGAGTCGAGGGCGCCGCTTGTCGAACACCAGCTCGGTTACCAAAGGGGTCATCGTCGCTTCTGGCACGACATGAGCAGCGCTTTCATCGCTGTGACCTCCAACGTTGTGATCGCGGCTGCATTCTGGAGTCGGATGCGGACCGCGAACATCAAACGGAGGTTCTTTCCGGTCCATGCTGGGCTGAGGAAGGCTGGCTGCATCAAATTGTCCAACATCGTTTGAGGCGTTGTCGTCGTTGGTGTTGTCGTCGTTGGTAAGCTTCAGTCGCTTTGCGCCGTTGTCACCAGATGATGTGTCATTGGGAGGCTCAAATGGTGGACTGGGAGAGCGTTTCAAAGGAGGGGGATCATCTTCCGAAGACATTGTTGCAATGCTGATATGCGAGGGCGATTGGTGGGAGATGTTGATGTGCGGTGGTTGATGTGTGGTGGTTGATGTGTGGTGGTTGATGTGCGGTGGTTGATGTGCTGTTGTATGAGAAAGAAAGAGCTTGAGAGTGCTTCTGGTAAACATATCCCTGCGCTGATGCTGCATGTGTCGAAGAGCCACTGAGACCTCAAGTGAAGTCTGTAAAGCGAAAAGTGAAGTCTGTAAAGCGTCAAGTGGCCAATGAGAGCGACCTGTCAAGTGCATCTTCTGGTGTTAACCAGAAAGCGAAGCCTCACTTGCTCGACCAAGTCTCTCACCGGTGTCACCGCAAGCCGAAAGTGGCGGCGGCACCGACTTGGTCTGGATAGCGGTTGACGCATTGCGAGCGCAAGGCAAGGCAAAAAATCTGTGTGGCAGTCCGAGCGTACAAGCATTGATGAGGAGATGTTGATCTATAAGTAGCTGGGCCTATTGTCTTGAGCTGGAATCAGGGTGGCCTGCTCAAGGCTGAAATTAAGCTGGAACGACGAAATGCGCGCAAGAAAGATGAAATTTAGATCGCCGCCAATTATGTTGAAGATGCTATCCTAGAGCTCGAGATATCTCTTGAAGCGGTCGCTACCCTCTAAGTTTGCCTCACGAACCACCTCGTAGCACGCCATCAACAGGCGAGGGAATTTGTGAGTCCAGTACGCCAGGTACCCAGCAGCTAGCGGACCAACGAGCTTCTTCACGTGTTCCGGCATGTCCTCGTAATGATTCTTCTTGTTCCTGAGCGCTCTCAAGAGGTCGAGCACGCGGTTGCCGCTGTACTTCCTCTGCTTACCAAGGGTGTCGACAAACACCTTGTCCAACTTGGACAAGAAGTCTGCATTTGGGCCAACAATCTCGAAGATGCGACTTTCGAGCAATTGAAGGTGAGGCGAGTCTCCGATGTAGTTGTCTTCCCACGTACCGCGCTGCTCGCGCTCAAAGTGATCCGAGCAATCGCACAGGAATGACAAGCGGTCCTCTGCTTCCCAGAAGTAAGGATGATTGAGCACCTCGTGGGCAGTGGGGCGGTTCGCAGGTTCATTCGCCAACATTGAACCAATCAGCTGCAGGGGCTCATAAGCGTCAGACCAGCGCTCCAGAGGCTCCATGTTCTTCTTGTCTTTCTTGACATTAAGCTCGCGCACTGCTGGGAACATGGATTCGTCCTCGAAGGGATGCGCGCCGTCAGTCAAGACCCAGAAGAACAGACATCCTAATGAGAAAATATCCGCAGCACGCTTGAGACCGCTGACGCCACCGCCGGTGCCGCTGCCACCGTCACTGCCGTTCGTCGAAGCGCCCTTGCTGTGATTGCTTTCCACGTCACAAGGCTGGGTAATCAGCTCTGGCGCCTTCCATCCAAAGGTTCCGGCATTACCGGTGAGGTCGTTGATCGTGCTCATGCCTTCGGGTAGATTCTTTCCCAGGCCAAAATCTGAAATGACTACGCGGGTGGTTCCCACAGGTTGCGTCTTTCTCGGGTAAGCCACGAGGATATTCTGCGGCTTGATATCTCGATGGATGATACGCAGGTTGTGGAGATGATTCAAGCCTTGTGCGAGTTGCTTGAGTGTGCGGGCCATGTCCTGCTGGATTGCAAGCTTCAATGCTGAAAGCTGAAGCCGTCTTTCGTCGCTCGGAATCAGTGCCTTCTCCGACTTTGGTTTGTCCACTTCCCAAACCTCAAAAAGGCTAGCTTGGCAGAGCTCGACAGCAAGGTACAAGAAGTGGTTGTCCTTTTGTTGGCAGAAGTACCGAATCACATTGTCGTGATCGTCGCTTTGCTGCAGGAATGACACCTCTTGAGATGCCAATTCGCAGTACTGACTCAGCATCCGCTTCACGGCGACACGGCGGTTCTCGAACATGCCTTCGTACACAGTTGTACCGCCGCTGCCATTGCCAATGACCTTGTCGAGATGGACAATGAGGCTGTTGATCTGGATGGAATCAGATGCTAACGTGCTCTCTGACGCTGCAACACTAATGGATTGTGCTTGAGATGTGTCACTGCCATTCTTCCGAGCTCTTGCCTCTGCTTGGGCGGCTTCCTTCTCCTTCTGCTTTCGTCCGCCTCGCCGACCACGCGTGGCTTTCTTCTTCTTTGGCTCGCCCTTTTGATCTTCTCCTTCTGGGGACTCGTCTCCGGCTTGCACAACACCGTCCGCGGCGAAGTGGACCTTGGGCGTTGCAGTGCCATTCGTCGCGGGAGACTCGTGTGGGAAGATAATCTCCTCCGCTGGCTCGCCTTCACGAACGAGCGGGGTGGTGGGTCCAGGAACAGCCTCAGTTCGAGCATGTGGGGGAATATCAACCTGAATTTGGAGCGGTACAGAAATAGGTACGGCTATCTCTTTCGTGGCAGATTCAGGCATCAAGTTGCGAAGTGAATCAAGGTTCCTCACAGCGTAGGGTCCCGCGCCAACGCATAGCAGAGTAATGAAAGCAAGGATCTGGAGGGGGACCGAAGTTAGCCTGCGATGTACCGGATCACCATCAAGGCGTAAATTAGTAGAGATACTTACCAAGTATTGAACACTTAGGTACCCGTTCTGTCGCTGCGCAGATGGTAAAGTCGGATATTGATTTGGCCACTGGTCAGCCGGTCCTCGAGAGATTGCTCCGTCTCCAGATGATGGCGGCGCGTCAATGGTGTAAGATCCGCCTCCGTCGATTGCGCGTGGTCCCAGCACTCTAGTAGGCGAATTGTAAACGCCAGCAACGTCTAAATTCGCAAACTTGGCGCGATCGAGGAATTCGACAGGCCGTGCCTTGTCTGTGACGGTGGGATAGTGTCGCTCTGACAGTGCGTACCAATTACTCTTCTCAGTTCGGTTGACGTAGACGGCATCGACACCCGCAGCGCCTGGAGGGATGCGGCCAAGAGGCTGCTGCAATGCAACCAGGTCAGCTGGTCCCGAGCGTACATTAACTGGTCGAATGAGATCGTAGACTCTGGCGATAGGTGCGTTCAGTTTCCCCCAGAACTCAGCCTTAGGATTTTCAGGATCATCGCGCAGACTGTAGAAGTGGCCGTCCCATGTAGAGTACAAGTTCCTCCGGTCGAGTGTGCTCGAGTAGCTGTTGCGGAGATCTTGATCTCTATTGTTTGTGGACCATTCGAAGAACCTAATGGTGCTGATGGGCTCGCCGGTCATCCGGTTTTGAATGCCAATAGTGTACTCAGTTTGGCCGAGCGTGATGTAGCCGAGCGTTTCCAACTCGTTGTCGTCTGCGAGACCACCAAGGGGGTCTACACGGCGGCAGCTTGAATCCTCGCCAGGGATGGAGCCTGTGGAGGTGAAGGTCTTCTCGACCTGGCCATTCTGTGCGTTGATGGTGTAGAGACGATTCCGTTTCTCTGCAGTGTAGACCACATTGGAGTCTTCTGCGGCGTAGGGAGACATCTCAGCCAGTGTTTTGACTGTAATGGCACCAGCTGGGCTCTCAAGCCTAGTGAGGCCATGCTCTGGAGCAAGAATGTAAATTGCTCCGTCCTGACTTGGCTCAACAATGAACATGGGTGTTTCTTGTGCACTGCCATCAGGGTTGAGGGTCTTGTTGTGTGGGTGGTTGATGTTTTCCACCATGTCGTGGGTATTTTCGACCGTCCACCGGTGAGCGCCAGTCCGGCGGTCTCGTGCGTGGAGCTTCCCGTCAACCGTCGCCAGGAGAATCATCTCCTCGACTTGCCAATCCTGCAAAGACCGCGCCGGAAGTTGTCGCGAGGTAAGGTCACCGCCATTGCTGGAGGCAGACCATTGGGCAGGAGGTGCTCGAACAGCCGGGTCAGACTCGGCCGGAGACACAGTCGCAAGGGCGCGCTCATTGACATAGGGTGTCCTTCGCGCTTTTGGTGTTCTGTCATTGTTGTTGTGATTTACGTTGTCTTGGTGGCCTTCGTGCTCGATGACGTTGGCGTTGGCGTTGGTGTTGGTGTCGCGGTGACCCCGCTGGCCAGTGAGATGGTGCTGCAGCGACGGGTCTGTTGGCTGAGCGCGCCATTGTGGCTCGACGTGAGCAGCATCGGCACGCTCATCACCCTGCTGGGCGATGGAGTGCGGGTCGGGGGGAGGGTAGTGTTGCTGGGCGGGCTTCTGCAGGGCCGCGGTGCCAGCGAGGAGCAGGAGGCTGACGACTATCTCTTTTGTTGACAGTCCTCGACCGGGCGGAGGCATGATGCCATGGACAGAACCATCGGCAGACCGAAGGCGGCGGCGGCGGTGGGCGGAGCGGAGGGTGCAGATATGCGTCAGTAGGTAATATGTTAAGAAAGTGGTGTGGGATCTAATGGGCAGTAGTAGTGTGAGAGGGACGTTCGTCGTCGTCACTGGGCAGCGCCAGGAGGTTCGTGAATTCGGCGATGTACCAGGGTTCAAACTTCAGCGGTTGGCGGTCTAGAGTCCAGAGCGGCTAGCGCCGAATCAACCCGGGGGCGCGGACGTGCAAGGAAGCGAAACCGCACAAAAAAAGCTGGCTGTGCAACAATCCATGAACGATGATTGATGAACGATGCTTCTTTGCCTACCCTACCCGACCATCAACCCACAAATCTGACTGTTGTTATGACATTTCGGCACATGCTGATGCTCATGTCCTTCAGCGGCAACATCTTATCTTATCCAGCCAGCCATCAGCCATGTCGTACCTGTGAGCATCTGATACACTTTGGTACTCATGGTTCGCTATCCATGGCACCTCCTTTGTCGGCCATCGCCATCGCCATCGCTATCGCTTCACGCGCATCGTCGCGGCACACACATCCGCCCTCCTTCGTCCTTGGAAGCAATCCCTCGCAATGTCGCCATTTCGCGACTGTGCGAGCCGAGAGCTCTTCGCCATCCCTTCACCCTCCAAGGCAAGGAGGCTGAAACGTTGGGCCCACGATGCTTTGAGTGTGCCATGGGGTAACACCAACTGCCCGCCATCTGCCTTGGTCCTCCACACCTACCTTTCTGGCCCCAATGCCAACTTTCATGGCATCTGCTGCTATGCTGTGCTCCGCTTGGAAATTCAATGGCAGCGCGGCTTCGAGCAGGGAATAGCATTCCTCGGAGCGAACGGATGTCAGGTCGCATACACCCTCTGTGGCTCTTTCAAGAACCGAATTGTAGCGTCCGCCGCCCGAGTGGTAGATTATAACCTAATACAGGCATAATCTGCCTCTCGGTCCTCTCGGACCTCTCCTATCGGAAAAAGCAGCAGTCGCAGGGCTCGGAGATCCATCAACAGGGTATAATGATACCACCGAAACCTTTGCAAAGGGTGTATACCTAAAGTAGGCATTCGGCTACCTTGCTAAGCACTCGCCAGACGGTGCGATGCCCGATGTACCCGCAATGACGATCCAATTATAGCTAGGAAATGAACATCTGCTTACGACTGGCAGAGTTCAACTAGGATGAAATGGCGTCTAATACCTTACAGCTCTACTTTTTCGAGCAATGAGAAGCAAGAGACTTTTCCGTTCACTGTCCAGCGTTGGCTACTGTTTCCGTGGTACCAAGTCGGGGGTGCATAAAGCCACAAACAGAATCCGGGGCTTCTGGCCTCTAAGTCGAGAAACTTTTGTGGAGCAGTGAGTGCCCAACTTCGCTTTCCGGGCTCGGTGGCCATACATTATTCTCACAATATATCCGCTCAACCGCTCTGTCCTTCATCCCGATGTCGAGCTTAAAAGGCACTGCCAAGAGCTGACTATGTTCGCCAGTCACGGCTGCGTAGACCACAGCACAGTTCAGCCTCCGATACGAACAAGGTGATAGGTGCCTGCTATCGATAAAGGCTGATTATTTCGCTCTCAATGCAAGGACAGGTAGTATTATTGTGACTATCTTGTCAACCACTTCTTGAATGCTGTCAACCTGGTTGCTGTATCGAGCTGTCTGCTATGCTCTGCTCTTTATTGCACTGACCAGAAAGATTTATGGTAGCTCGAATGATGAGCGAAGAAATAGCTCTGATACGCATCTATTAGCTACGATCTCACGTCCAACATGCCACCCTTCAGGAGGACATGAGCTCGAGCGAGTTCGACTCCTCAAATGACTTGATTGTGAAGCACTCCACGGTTTCGATCGCTACGAAATCATCTTCGGCGCCGAAATAACCAGACTCGAGGACCTGTACAAACACCCGACGTCCCCAAGAAGCACAAAAACGTCAAAGATCACCGCCTGAAACCTCCTTTCATGCACAGCTCACAGCCTCTCAGCTCCTGTCCTCAACAATCACCTAATCTCATAACTTCCAAGAGGCCCGCAACAAGATCTCTTCCAACGCCGAATTCTGCAAACAAATCGTGGCCTGCGCACTCCGATACTACAACATCTCTCGACACGAAATCGAAACATTGATCTACTACACTATTCAATGATGGAAACCCCAAACCCTTACTCAGTGTTGATTCAGTATTAATAGTCGACTGGAGCTCGGGGCATTCTCGACGCATTCATTTGCGTTGATACCGCCTAGCAATCAATTCGTTGACTAGCAAATTATTGACAGTGCTTGTTCCAGATCCCCAAAGCATACTGTATAAGCGAGCTGAGACCTGCCTTCTTGAAAAAATCATCTGCCTTATACGAGCTGCCGTTGCGATTACAAATGAGTAGTGATGTTTGATGCCAGATAGGAAGAAGCTCGGCACCATTTAAACCGTGGTCAACATGGTTGAATAGCGTTTTGTGGAGGTGGAGGAGTGAAGAAACGGATTCAACGCCGAAAACGGCTTGTAATTGCCGTCCTTGATTGGCCTCCGAGCCATCTCTACACATTATTATGCAGGTATGCTGTCGTTGAGAATGACTTTGGAACAAGATCGGCACTTGTTTGAATAACTGTGACTGAACTGTACGTTCCTGCATAAGCTGCAAGACATGTATTACTGGTACTTACTCGAGCGGGCACGAGCGCAGGGAATCACTGCACTGTGCCACGCAACTTGTCAGTCGTTGTCCAACTTGTCCCAATTCATGTCGTTAGCCGAGGTGATCATTCACGATTCGCGATGGCTTTCATTTTTGGTTATTGTAGCTGAGCTTGCCCTGATCCGGAATCCCGGATGCTTGCCGTTGCTAAGTAAGGAAGGAGCTTCAATGTGCTTTCACTGCTTTGAAGAGTTTCACATCATTACACTCAATACTCATACCGTGCGATACCGTAGGATGTCGGCTAGCCGAGTATCTTCGATAGTGGAGAGCATCTGCAAGCGCCCGAGCATGTAGAGATCCTTGGATCGCAGAGCGCCAGGCGCATGCAAGTTTGACAGTCAAGGTGTGTACTCCTGAATGCTGCAGCATTGGCGAATCCAGTTTCGAAAGCATTGCACAAGCTTGGAAAAGTCGATGGAACCCATTGATACCTCCCTTGCCAGATACAGTGCGGGGGCACCGTATCAAAGTCCAGGACTGGCAGTCGTCATATCTCTTGATCCTTGAGTCCCGAGTTAAGCGCTGGCGGATGACGCTCTATCGTTAGATTACGAGTTCTGGATTCGGACTATCGACCGCTGCAAAGTAGCGGGTATAGCATCACCCGGAGCCTTATTGCGCAGTCCTTGCAGCAGATGTCCACGTGGACCTTGAACACAGCCTGTGAATTGCACGAAACAAGACGTGTCACGTGTGAGCGAGAACAGAGTCCAGACAGAAACAAGGTGTATCTGAACAATCTCGGTCGTCGGCCGCTGTACAGACAGAGTTTTGATCTTGTGTTTGAGTTTCGCCGCCGTGACCAGCTCCCAGGGCTTGCGGTTTGTCACCGTAGTAGTGGCAGTGGCAGAGAGAATTATTGTTGAAGCAGAGCAGCACTCATCAGTGGAACACGCTCTCTCCTGCAAGGGACTGCTGTCACTGCCGTTTCCTACTGTAAGTGAAGCAGCTTCCTGCATGTTGCCGAGATGGCCCTGAATCGCTCGGTCGATCATTCCAGGGCTGCGAATCCTGAAGAGGAACATCCTCCATGTGTACGGTCTCATCAGGTCCAGAACCTGAAGCGAAAGCAGATAATGTGACGGTCCAGAAGCGTGAGAAGAGAAGTCGTTGCACATGGCGTCGTTCATCACATCGACTACCCCGAAATAATGTGGTTGATCACGCATGTTCGTCGCTGACGAGTTGGCCACACCTCCTGTGCGCCTGGTTGTCTCGCAGCGTCCGCGGTGTGGCCAATTGCCGCGTGCGAAGTCAGGTTCAATGTGGTGATGCCAGGGCCAGAGATTGGACAGCGATGCATCGTGCGGCGGATCCGCCAGTAGCTTAGAGCCTCACTAGGTAGACTACGACGATCATGCTGCAGTGCAATAATCGAGCGCGCCGAACGCTGGCCGGTTGGCAGGAAGCGACGCTGCTGATACAGCCGTACTGTACAAAACGAGTCTGGCAGATGGCTCAGGTGTGGGCAGGCCAGCCTTGCGGTGCACACACAGCCCAAGCCGCTGGCAAGCAGACCGCGAGGATGATATGTGTAGAATTAATTCTATTATGCGCTGGACGACACACTGCAGGCCGAAAGTTACCGTTTGGCGCTTATTAGGCTTAGGCTTAGGTGCACCGCAAGCCACTCCCGCTCTGCTCTGCAAGCTATCCATGCCCCACGGGCCATGCTGTTGCCGCCAGGTGCCTGACTGACTCTCCACCTCTGCTGCTCGCATTGGCCCCAGCAAGGCTCAAGCAGCGTGAGAGCAGATTTGTGCGGCCGACTTCCTACTCCAAGCACTACCGTATTCTACCAAGACCAGCACTGCATCACCAGACCGCACCGTCACGACGCCTGCAGCGATGACATCCGGCCAAAGCCGCCGCCTTCACTGCTCTTACCGCTGACATACGCAGTACTGCGCGTGATTGGGCGGACGGCATACCAGGTTCCCTGCGACAGTGCCTGCGAGTGTTGTCACTCGCGGACGCTAAGAGATATGAACGAAACATCCCTGGCGCTGAAAGCAACGGCGGCGAGCACTACTACTGGACCATCAGGCTCGCTGCAAGATTCTCACCGCACAGCCAGGTCTGCTGCTCCTGCCTTTGACGCCCACACTCCCGCTCGAGCTGCTGTCCTGTCGACGAATCACACATCCGCCAACCACAGTCGCCCGCCGCAGCGACACGAGGCCGACCTGCCCACATCCATCAGCAGTAGACACGCGCAGGTCCAGGCTCAGGCGCAGGCTCAGGCGCAGGCTCAGGCTCAGGCTCAGGCTCAGGCCCAAACTCATCAGACTCCACGCGCTCCCAACCCGGCGAAAAAGGTCACGGCGAACGAAAAGGATGAGCTGCACTTGGCCATAAGCGCTCAGGTTGTAGCAGAGGCGGCTGTCAAGGCTTCTGCGGCAGCGAGCACCTCTCCTCCGAGCTCGCCAACGATAATGCAAAGCTCCAAGCCGGCCACTCGACCAGATCGCGGACCTATAATGGCGCATCGCACCGCCTCCATCGATTCCACTGTATCGTCCATATCCTCAGCATCGACATCGCAAAGACCCAATCAAGTAAACGCGCTTCGCGTCGCGCAAGACAACCAAGGACCACAAGATGCACCTGCGCTCATCGCTGCGGCAGGCTCCGCAGAAGAGGCCCTGAAGAAAGTGTTGGCAGAGAAGCAGCAGGCGGCTAACCATAATGCGCAGCTATGGCGCTTAGTCGAGAAGCAGAGAGCCATGATCTTGGGGCTGAACAAAGATTTGGAGAAATCTTTAAAGGAAAAAGAGAGATACAGGCGGAAGCTAAAAGAGTCGCTCCAGAGCTCGACTTCTGCGCCGACGCTGATAACATCAACGGATCAGATACTGAGAGGCGACTCGAGGGAAACGAGCCTGTCGCCGTCACAACTGGTGCCGGGCTCAGAGGCGGCCGCCCGAGACATTAGTGTAGATACCCGAAAGACCAGCGACACGTCAGGCTCCTTGCCGAGCGGTTTTGGACGCTCAGATACCCCTCAGGACGCGACGAATGCGCCCTCATCAGGCTTGCCTGCAACGCCGCAGTCCGCCAGCAGCATCACGCAAGGCCAGCGCGACTTACCTATCATTGGCGAATGTGTGCCATTCAGATCAGAGGAGAGCAAAGCTGCGACAGCGACGATACAACGAGCGCCTGGAGGAACACCGCCACTGTCGCCACTGTCGCCAACGCCAAAGCTTGTAGAAGTGGCGTACAGTCCGAAGGCGAGCCAGCGTGCAGGGCACCAGAAGAATGCATCCACTTCCTCCTTCCAGACGAGCCCGCCTCCTTCCGCGCATAGCTTCTCGAGCCCCAAGACGAGGAAGGCACCTCCCGCGCCGCTAAAGCTGGACCCACCCAGACCCGAGCCGAGCATGATCAATAACATTGTCGATGCATCCGACTCGGAATATGAGGATGATCCGGAAAGCGCGCGGTCGGAGTACATGGAGCGTGGACGTAGAAAGACGCGCGAGGAAGACGACCGCGAGCGAGAGGTCTTGGCGCAACGAGAGGCAGAGCAGCGGAGTCGCTCCAAGAAGGAAAAGAAAAGCAAGAGTCGGCCGGCGGAGCAGAAGACGGACACGTACGAGGCCGCCGCTGTATCACAGTTCGCAGTGGCGGAGCTGCCTGCGCCGGACGCCGCCCATCCTCAACCCTCCATCTTTTCTCCTACCGCCAACCCGGCTGAAATCGCACGCAATCGCGCCGTTTCAGATGCTGCAAACGCGAACGCCATGCCGCGCACCCTCACAGCGCCGTCTGCCTTACTCAGTCCTGGCTTGCCCATGAGTCCGCGGCCAGGTGACCGACCACTCAATTCGCCCATGCCACGTGCGGCGGCGACTGCATCTGCAGCAAACTCAATGCCCATGTCTCCGAGATCTGGCATGGGCCGCATGGCAGGTCTACCCCTGTCACCGCGACAGCCAAGACAAGCTATCCCACTACCTCCACAGACACCCATGGCCATGATGTCGCCTCACCTGGACCGAGCCAAGGCATACAACGTTCAGCAACAAGCCACGTCACAAGCTCAGCCAACATCTTATACAGTCGAGCGACTGAAGCCGACAAACGATGCGAGTAGTTCCGATCACGAGCGACCATCGATGTCGAGCGACCATTCATCTGCCTACACTCCTAGTGAGGTCTACAAAGGCCTCGCCACGGAACAGTACCCAGATCTACTATTGCCTCCCAATGCGCTGCCGTCGATTATGATCAGGACGGCTTCCTCGCGCATGATCCGCTCGCGTGCTAGCATGATACTGCCGCTCAAGCAAGGCGACGAGAACCCTGTGCTTACGATTGGAGTATATGCCCGATCGGACAATAAGGAGCTGTGGCGTGTGGAGAAGACTTATGCAGCACTTGCCGGTCTGGACCACGAAATAAAGTCACTGTGTCGGGTGCACGATCGTCTCCCCGAGAAGGCTCTCTTCACAGGCCACGCACCTGCCAAGATTGATGCTCGCAGGACGGCACTCAACCATTACTTTGAGAAAATGCTTGACTCGGTGATAGAAGAAAAGGCGGCTCGAATTGTATGCAGATTCTTGTCGACTGATGCTTTTGGCGCGGAAAGTGGCGACCATTTCAATGCTAGAAATGAGGACTCGACCAGGCCAGATACGCCAGTTACGCCAGCCTCAAAGTTCCGACCGAACATGGCAGGCTACTTGACCAAGCGCGGGAAGAATTTTGGTGGTTGGAAGGCACGATATTTCGTTTTGGATGGGCCAAATCTGAAATACTTTGAAGGTCCTGGTGGAGCTCATCTCGGATCGATCAAGCTCCAAAATGCGCAGATTGGAAAGCAATCTGTTAACCATAATCAGAGCTCGCATGAGGACGAGGACAACCAATTCCGCCATGCATTCCTGGTTCTTGAGCCAAAGAAGAAAGACTCCACCAGCCTCGTCCGACATGTGCTTTGTGCGGAGAGCGATGATGAGCGCGACTTGTGGGTGGATGCCTTGCTCCATTATGTTGACTTCAAAGACGAAGAAGAATCTCAGCAACCTGGCAGGCAGGCACAAATTTTCAAGACCGAGATCAGCCTACCACGTAGTCCGCGGTTGCAAAAGTCAATGAACGATCTCCGGCCAGGGAGCAGCAAAGACGTCACAATGGACTCACTCCGAGCAGTGGGATATGGCGACACCGTCGCCGGTGATGCTCCTGTCATGGGACCTCCAGCGACGCCAAGAGTTACTCAAACCCCATCGCCTCCATACGACAAGCTCACAAGCGGTGCTGACCCTACGAATGCCTCTCACCCTCTCATTTCTGGCCCGACCAACTTACAGGTCATTCAGAACACGGGCGACTGGGGCATGAAGGTGCCGCCGACTCCCGGGCGGGACAAGAAGCGCAGCATGTTTCAGATACCTTTCACCAGAGGCCGTTCTTCATCTGATCTGGATTCAAAAGACTCTGCAAAGACGTCTACGGATCGAGGATATGCTAGAGCTGTGTTCGGAGTGCCGCTTGCGGAGGCTGTGGAGTTCTCGCGTCCAGACGGCGTTGATACTGATTTGCCGTCAGTCGTCTATCGATGCATTCAGTACCTCACGGCCAAGAATGCAATTGCCGAGGAGGGCATTTTTCGACTTTCGGGCTCTAACACCGTGATCAGAGCGCTCAAGGATCGATTCAATAACGAGGGAGACGTCGATCTGCTCAGCGAGGAAAATTACTACGACGTTCACGCGGTGGCAAGTCTTTTAAAGCTGTACCTGCGAGAGCTGCCCGCCAGCATTCTTACCCGGGATTTACATCTGGACTTCCTGCACTGCTTAGAGATGCATGGCGACGAGAAGATTCCTGCGCTGAACTCTCTGGTCAACAAGCTGCCAACAGCGAATCGCGCGCTTTTGAAAGCCATGTCTTCCTTCATGCTTTTGATTGTGAACAATGTTAATGTCAACCGGATGAATGTTCGCAACCGTGAGTCTCTACCAAGCTTCAATACTCTGATCTCATACTGACTTTACACAGTTGGCGTTGTCTTTTCGCCCACGCTGAACCTGCCAGGGCCACTCATCTCGCTTTTCGTTGAAGAGCAAGCACGCATATTTGATGCCACACCGCCTGCTGCCGATTCGCCATCCTCGGTGTATGAGACTCAGCCGCCTGAGATGTCATCAGGAGACCTGCGCTCTCCACGAAAGCAAATGTTCCAAGACCTCCCGACGCCTGCATACAACCAGACTCAGTTCCAGAACATTGGTGGCTTCCGAGCTGACGACACTGGTTTCACTCCCATGCAGCCTTCCTATGCCAACTACCAAATGGCGCCTCAAGGCGATGGCGGCTTTGGAAGCCTTAATGACGCACTTCGATCGCCTACAGTCTACAATACCACAGGAATGGGCGCGCCGACTCCGCGCGATATCAAGCAACGACGACGTGAGAGCGCTATGCTCCACGTCATGGGCCCTTCAAGGAAAATCAGCTCCTCCAGACTTCGCGGAGAGCAAGGCACTAGCTTCTAATAATTACTCGCAACAGATGACCAGGAAGCTCTGGGACTGTCAGCTGCAAAATTTCACTATATTACTGGTGTCTGGCGAAACACCAACCTAACTTAATAATCGACTGTTATGCCGGCACTGTGTGCCTTGGCTCGAACGAACTCAAAATACGAACAGGAACGCCGCCCAATACAGCACCCCGGTTTCCGTCTCGGCGCCACTACTGTGAGATGATGGATATATTTCATGAGGCTTTATTGTTTTCTGTCTTCAACTTGTTTTCTTGTTTTGGGGTTTTGTTCACATTCGTGCGATACAGCATCATACCCCGTTCGTTCGAAGGAATTTACTGGCATTTGGGCGTTAGAGAAGCGTTTTGAGCGAATGACCGAGGGAACCAAACCAGCTTCCGGCTTCTGAGTTTATTTGGGGGGGCGGAACGGAGGGTTGGCCGCACAGCAGTTGTCGGTTGGCATGTGGCATAGGAAGTGTATGATTATACGCTTCTTCGTTATCTATCTCGTATATGAGGACATGAGAATGTCAAAAGAAAGACTTATATTGTACAGGTCAAGAAGTTGTCTTCCCGATCTCGCGCGCTTTCAGTGTCAAGGTGGCTTATTGTGTTCGTGTTCTGGATTTCCAATGGTGATGAGCTTGATGAGATGATATTGTGCGGAAGTTACGTATTGCTATTTTCAGCAAGTGCGCAAAAGGTGCAGATATCTCTTGCCTCGCATTATTATATAGTTGCGATCGCCGAGTCGGCCGCTGCCAATTGTGACTCGGGACTAGATAATGCAGTGCGTGAAATGGCGCCGCCTATGATGGCGAATAAAGAGAGAGAGACATACGAAGAGAAATCTATGCCGCCAAAAGTTTTGATACCATATACTCTACGCAAAGAAACATTAAGCCACAATGCTTTTCAGTTGTCCTCTCCTCCTCATCGCGTCTCTCGGTCAAAGAATTCGAAAAAAAAGCCATCCCAATCTATTATCATCGGCATCGCAGCCTGTACAGTAGTCAATGTGAATTTCCACCTCTACATGTCCATAAGCATGGCGGCATCTGGCTCGCTGCAGACGTAGATCGTCTCATGCTTGTCCGTGAATCCGTTGAAACGAGTGGCAGAGCACTTGGTGTAAGCACCCATTTCTTCAAAGTAGAGCCAATCACCGACATCGACCAGGTGGGAGGAGAGCCACTTCTGGGTGATCACATCGATGCCATCGCAAGTTGGGCCCCAGACGGAGTAAGTGATTGGCTGGGTGCGGTTGTTGGACTCCTCTTCAGCTGAGGCGTAGCCAGAGTCAAGCAGAGACTCCTGCATGGTGGAGTAGTTGAAGCCATCGCGGCGATGCTGCGTGCGGAGGACCTGCGGGACCGGTTGCTGGTGGTCGAAGATGATGCTTGAGAAGTTTCCGTAGACACCATCGTTCATGTAAAGCATGTAGCTGTTCCCACCACCAAGATGCTTGTCCTCGACAGTGCGACGAGCGATAACGTTGCAAGCCAAGGTGAATGCGGTGCTGGTGTAGTAGCGTCCTGGTTCGGCGATGATGCGCACACTTGGTGGAAAGAGCTCGTCAAGTGCATGGGCGAGGACTGGAGCCATTTCGTTGAAAGTCTCGGAGACGAATCCTCCACCACAATCAAGGGTGTGCATCTCGAAGCCCAGAGCTGCAGCCTGGTCGAAGACGATGCGAGCGTCGCGGACTGCTTGACGGAACGCCTCTGGATCGGAAGCTCCCGAACCAACATGGAAGGCAACGCCAACCACATTCAAGCCCAAGTTCTTGGCCAATGTGAGCAAATCCATTGTGACATCCATTGCTGCGCCGAACTTCTGACTCAGGCGGCACAGACTAGCTGAGTCATCCGTAGAGATGCGGAGGAAGAGCTCCGCAGTTGGGTAGATGTCCTTGATCTTGTACAGCTCATCCGTATTGTCGAATGTCATCTGCTTGACTCCCGTCTTCGCGGTGTAGCGCAAATAGCTCTTGGTCTTGCATGGTTGGGCGTAGATGATGCGGGCCGGGTTGAGACCCATGCTCACAAGCTGCTCGATCTCAGCCTTGCTGGCACAATCGAACCCAGCTCCCAATCTAGCGAGCATCTCCAGTACACGCGGGTCTGGGTTGCACTTGACTGCATAGTGCGGTGTCACACGTGGCAGGTGCTTCTGCCAGCGCTTGTGCTGCCTATAGACCTCTCCCAGGTCAGCCACGAAGAAGGCATCCTCTGCGCCTGGCTCGCAATTGTCGGTGTCAATATTAGAGATGTGGCTCTGCAGGGCAGCGCCAATCAATTGCCTGGCTTCTTTAACGCCATCGTAAATCTCTGCTCCGCCTTCGTAGTCGGAGAGATTATCGATGAACTCTGTCGTCTTTTTCAGAGAAAAGCTCTCGTAATCGTTGGTGAAGATGTCGATTGCGGAAGGTGCCATACCCTTGTTGCAGGTATGGGTACGATTAATGTCTGGATGACTCGAAAGGACTGTTAAGGTGGCTTGAAGGGTGCAAAAGCCAAGCGCAGTTGACCTGGGTAGCGAACGCCCGACTCCTCCCCGGGGAAGGGAAGAGCTTCAAGGTGGCTCTTATGCGGCAGCTGAGAGGGCGAGGAGTCTGATTGTGGTAGTTGTTGGAACAACTCGAAAAGCAGATCGGATGGCTCTTTATGGACCAGCAGGCGGTGGAGGTGGGATGCTGTTGAGGATGTCGCGGTGTGCTCGTGTGGATGCAATTTGGCTGACTACTCGAGTGCCTGCGCGCAGGGCCGTGGTGATCGAGGGTGCCTTTGACTTGACCAAAGGCGAGTCTAGATGTGGATTGGGGCCAGGTTCGCGGTATGCTGTGGCAATGTGAATCAGTAGGTGGTTCGGTGCGTAGAACAAGTCTGAGATATGACTGTGGCAGTGTTGTGACGGTGGGAGCGAAGCGTACGGTCGCAGGGTGAGAGTGCGGTGAAGAGCGAAGGTGGCGCGCCCGGGGGCTGGCTGACGGAGGTGAAGGTGGTCTTACCGGAACCGGCGTGTTTGATCAGTTGATGTGTGTTTGCAAGAGGCTGTTATACCTTCAAGATGAGGCGTTTTTAGGCACAAAATGTGGTGTGGCAGTGAGAGAGAAATGGAGTTGCGCGAATTTTGTACTGAAGGAAGTCCGTGCCCGTGCCAGGCCCCACACAAAGTGAATGGGCGCACTGCCGATCAACGTCAGCATATCAGAATCAGGGCAACCTCCACCGCTGTGCCTGTCCGTGACGCATTTGTCCTCACCTCCCCCTGTTCCTATTCCTGACATCTCCAGGGCTCCCAACGCGTCACAGAAACGTGGGCATGGCTGTCAATAATAATCAGCGTCGTGCCTTTCACCACTCTGCTGACAATTGGCTTGCTTCAAAAGCCTCTCCAATGCAACTGCCATCGGAGTCTCCGCTTGTGGGAATCAAACTCCACGACAACATCTCATCAGCTGATGTTGTGTCAATGTGCAAAGCCATCATCACTCTCACCGCAAGACAACGTACGGAACACCGGTCTTGGCTGCGTCAAATCGTCTGCGCGCGAACTCATAAGCTTGAAGAGCATGATAGGACTGGATCGTGTGATCTGATGATAGCATTGCATGGCTTCAGATGTGAGGGCTGGCGTTCGTGACTAAAAGAGGCGGCAGTGCTACGACTACTTTGGGAAGAGGGAGAAACCTTTGCGTCGTCGAAAGTGGACATGAACAGCGTGCTGCTTGGTGCATTACTGCGATCTGTAATTCAAAACGCGCATCAGAAAGGGAGTGGTGCCTTGGGTCAAGTCTGATCCCGAAGCGCTGATCGCGTGCTCGTACTGTAAGGCAATAAGTTAGACGCCGTCCACGCTTTGGTGTCCAGCAGCACAGAGCTTCGTGACAGTCTCGCAGAAAAAAGCGCAAACTGCTAAACAACTCGGTCGCTGCGAGCGCAAGTCACCACTCATAGCTCCCGAGGTATTTGTGAGAGCTTTATATGACTCGTGACAATGTCCATCGTGCTTCATCAAGGTAATAATACAGTTGAGAGATTGACATGTCCAGTGCCGTGATCCGTCTACAGGGTGAAAGTCTCCAATTTGACATTACACTACCCCAGATCTCCAACCTAGTCTATACAAATGTAGTCGTGTGCTCGTAAATATATGCCTCATACTTTTGTTCATACCTCGTACGATGATCAGCCGCTTAGCAGACGGTGATGTAAGCACCGATCGGGGATGGGTTATAGTCCTGGAAGTACTCAAGCTCCAATCCATCCGCGCTCGAGAACTCGTACGCGACTCGCTCGCCTGCCTCGCACTTGCCAGTGAAGATCGTGTAGCCATTTCCGGGCGCAATGGAGGAGATCGCGCTGCTAGCTCCGCTGCCAGCTGGCTTGTTGGCGTACGTAGTCTGCTCGTTGGCCGGAGAGACAAGCTTTGAGCAGTGAAGACCTCCCTTGCCGTTGAAAGTGAAGGCAGAGCTGGTCAGATCCTTCTGCTCTGGGAAAAGGAAGACAACGGAACATGTCTTTCCAGCATGGTCCGGATGAATATCAAAGTTAAAGATGCTGCTCGTGGTGGATGAGATCGTTCCGTTGTACTGTGTACCATAGGCCTTTGAAGGGTTGGCAGAGTCGACCGGGACAAGAAGATGTGGATACTCGAATACCCCATTCAAGTTGGTGGGGCAGTCGCTGCTTTCGGGTGCAGAGGATGGTGCCGATGAAGCAGAGGAGCTAGCAATAGTCACCAAAGTCGATGGCTTGGCAGACTGGACTGCAGACTGGACTGCGCCCTGGGAGCCAGCTGGTGCAGAGATGACACTGGTAGCTGCAGAAGCTGCAGAGCCCACGGTAGTCGCTGGTGGGTTTGGTACAGTCTGAATGCTGGCGACAGATGTTGCGGCAATCGCGGCGGACTTTACGGCAGTAGCGAGGGTGGTATGGCTGGCAGCCTGGGGAGAACTGCTTTCGGCGGAGCTAGAGCAAGACAGATCGTAGAGGGGTGCTCCACGATCAGCATTGATAACACGGAATGAGGTGGCCGACTGGTCAGTCTGGCCATCATTCAATTGGTACCACCAGATGTTGTAGTCGCCATTGAGCAGGCGACAGCCGACGTTTTTGAAGTACGTTCCAGCATTGGCAATAGAGGCTGTAGCTTGGCCTGATTGAGGTCCAGTCACTGGCCATCCGGTCTCAGTGACCCAAACAGGCTTGCCTTGTGCAACGGCTACAGTAGCGTCGTACGACTGGAAGAAGAGTGACTCGGCATTCTCGATTCCGTTGGCATTGACAGTCTGGTAGTATGGGTATCCATCCATCCCAAGCCAGTCAACGGCGTTGATCAGGGCAGCATTCGAGCTGTTGGTGTATGCAGTCCATGTATCGACATGTCCGACAGATTTTCCAGATGCTGCTGTGCCTGCAATGGCGTCACGAACCTGGCCAATGTATCCCACAAGCTGATCAGGCGATGAGCCTGGACCACTGTCATTCTCGATTCCCGTTGGCGAGACTCGGTAAAGATCCTCAGACCCAACCGAGATGCCGACAATCAGATCTGTGAAGCTTGTGCCATACTGGTTGATGGCGTTTCTCAAAGCTGTAATCTCCTGGTTGAAAGCGTCGGGACCAGCACTAGCCCACAGGCCGAGGAGGAGGCTTGTGTTTGTCGCGATAGCGGCTGGGATGGCAGAGATCACCGTGTTGGTTGTGTAGCCCTGAATCATGGTGAAGAGACGTGCGGAGGAGAAGCCATGCGAGCCAGGCAGGTTCTTCGCAGCGTTGAAGTCTGCCTCGAAGTCTTGTTGAGTGCGGGCTGACTGGTCTGCATACAAAGCCCCATAGTTGAAGCCGTGGACTGCGGCGCTGGCGCTGCTAGCCAGTGTGAGTAACGAAAGTGATCGCATGATGTTGCTGATTTCTTGACCCAAAAAGACAGTAAGAAGATGGGAAATATAGCAAGTCCAACCTCCCTTCACAGCAAAGACTAACGCCTATATGAAGGCGAGCAAACTCGGATGACGACGCCTCCAGGCAATACGAGCCTCTGCATCATAGTACACTTTTTCGCCTCACGAGGCACCATGGCGAACACGTTTCCGCGGATGCGATGCTGCCGGCTCGTGTGTTATGTTAAAGTGGTCAGAGCGATCCAATGATGTCGTGCATGAGCCTCCATCTCGTCCAGAATTGGCAATGGTGTAGAAGAATAGTGCATGCTGAATATGCAGGCCGAAAAGCAGAACCAAACTGCATCGGGCAGAAGTGTGGTCCAGAATAGCACGATCAGCAGGTCAAGACGGCTCGCGGCGTGGCATGATGCCAGGCACCGCACATTACTGTCATTATGATAATCCGGTGATGAAGGCCATCGACGTTCTAGCCAAGGTCTTGGATCTAGAGCCTTCGTCGATGCTCGCAGGCCCCGTGGAAGATGACCATCTGCTTCCCTTTGGATGATGCTCGTGCAATGGTGCTTTGGAGTGTTGTTTCTCGATGCTGTGTCGCTGCATTTGGAGGTGTCAAGCGCAAGCGTGAAGAATGACGGCTGGCCAAGCCGCCGCCGTCGAGTCGGCTGGTGCAGTGGTGGCGTTGCGGCCTTGGCATTTCGCCGCGGATTTCCAGACTTTGCTTTCCGACCAGACCGGCTAGACAACACAAGAAGGCCCGCGCAGTTTTCTTGACGGCGCTTGGCCGCACTCACGGCAGATGGCTTCAGAGTTGGACTACTACGAGCTCCTTGGCCTGACAGGACAACGGCAGGCACAACATATTCCAGTGGACGAACTCAGGCATGCTTACAAACGAACGCTGCTCGCCCAGCATCCGGACAAGAAAGGAGCCGCCTTGCTACCGCAGGGGAAAGATGCCAACACCTCTATCGATGAGATCGCCGAGGCCTATAGAGTTCTTGGGGATGCCAAGCTGAGATCGGAGTACGATCGCCGGCGCAGCATTCGTAAAGGGCCTGGCAATGAAGCTGAGGACACTCGACATGCCGGGATGGAGACCGTGGACTTGAGCGACCTTGAGGTTGACGAGAAGTCGGAGCAGTGGATCCGATCGTGTCGTTGTGGCAGCGAGCCAGCCTTTGTGGTCACGGAAACGGAGCTTGAAAAGAACATCGAATACGGCGAGCTCATCACAGGCTGCAAAGGATGCAGTCTTTGGCTGAAAGTCTTGTTCAGCGTCGAAGCCTGAGACGCAAGACTTATGATTGCCCGAGAAGAAGATGCTTGCATGCTCCTTCTGATACCACCATGCTCCACGTTCTCGAAATCGCGAGCATTCTTTCTGCTCGAGAAACATGCCATATCATCTTTCCTGGATTACGCCGCTTCTGATTTCGGTGGCTATTGAGGTAGATGCAGTCTGGGAGCCGAATGGCAAAGACGCGTCTCGCCCAGGTCCTTTGGCTTCGCCTCTCTCAGAGCTCACGCGTGCATTCTGGCCCGATGTCTGAGTGTTCTGCCTTTCTTCGACTCTTGGATGTTGCATGGATCTGCTCCTAGCAGCACGCGTCAAGCTGGACCCTATCGTCGCACAGGACTCGCTCCTTGTGAGAGATCATTGCAAGGGTTCTAGACATCGTGGGGCCCTCTTGGACGAGTGAACAAGTGTCCTATTGAAAGGCTTAGATGGCCATTCATCTTCAGGTTGCAGCAGCTGAGGTCGATCTGGCGGATGGCAATTTCTCATCATGGATCTCGATGGTATTTGGGCCGTTGTTAGCGAACCGTGCAAGCTGATCTCGCTCACTCCGACAATCGATCGAGGCAAAACATTGTTGCTGCGGGTTCAGAGTCATCAAGACCAGATGCAGCATTTGTGGTGCTCATCACAACCGATCATCTCCGGACAGCCGTTGAGGTAATGCAGCCAAACATTGTCCATTCAGCATGAAAATTCGACATTAGCACAGCAGTCGGCTAGCTGCAGGCATCTCGACGGACTGTGTTTGTTTCTTCTGATGCAGTCCGAGAGTCATTCTCTACCACTGATTGTTTTGAGGTGTCTTGCGCGTAAGTCTAGCGTTGCATCTCGGGATCATTTTGCACAGCCGACAAGCACTGCAGATTAGCTAAAGGACCTGTTTCCGTCGGATACCACCAATAACCCTGTTAATGTTTGATACCCGAAGAAGGTGTGACAGCTCGTGCTCTAAGCTCTTGATCACCATGCTGCATCTGCACCTGCTCCACCCAAGGCTCCGCAGTCGTCGCCCATCCCGACTGGAGAACAACCCGATTTTCGAGCATCGACGAGTTCCAGGAAAGGAAATGTCGAACGAGTCTTGCTGCAAGGCACGTGATGTACAAGTGTGTTTGCCTAATCGGTATTCTACCGTGAGAGCCTTTATGCAGCTGAGTCCACCTGCATATCGGACAGATACCAACGTTGCGGACGCGGCGCCTCAGGCCGTGATTTCCTAAGGCTTAGTGACCTGGAGCTACCAGAGAAATTCTGAAAATCCCGTCAGGGCTCGATTCACATACGTACGTCCGAACCTGAAACACAACAACCTCCCAAGCCTTTACTTCGGAACATCAAAAGATCTACAATGACCCTCGCGCTCCTCGAACGAGCAACGTTAAACTCTGTTTCGCATGGACCGTTCGATACAGTACAGTAATAATTCCCGCCGATGCTCCCTGGCACCTGCCTGTACGGCTATGCAACTTAAGCTCCCCTATGTGCCTCCGAGACATCATCCAAAAGACCGTAGCGTGAAGAAGAAAAAACAAATGATCCTGCCGTTGAAACCGAGAACACGCAGATTTCCAACGCAGGCCAATGGAATTCATGAAACAGCCATGTACCGATGTCTTTGACAACTCATACTCGCCTTACTTGGCTTTTACACTCTTGGGCAATCCTGAGCCGTTGTTGAACGTTGACGGGTCGAGCCTCGAGGATGGCGTCTTCTGAACATCCGACGCCTCATCACGAGAACCAATAATGAAAGAAAGTTAATTCGATCCCGCAACGATGGTATAGCAGTGGCAGACAGTTCCGTGCCGTCCGCTGTTCAACCAGCGTGTCGGCTCCCTTGGACAGCACAGATTCACCGCTGGGCAGTTTTCTTAATCATGACGGAGCTCTCCCCCGTTGGTTTGATCACGGATATTTGTTGAAAGACGATTTGGAATATTGAAAAAAATCTTCGCTTTTGGTATTGATACTCTCGCTACGAGACATTATTGTATTACGAGTGGATGCAGCCAGCGCCAGCACTGCTGCGACGCGCGGAAGAGCGAATATGCCGCCTTGAGGAGCTATGTTTTTTTAATTATACTGGTGATGGTTGGCCGTTGTTGCTCTGATCGCAAATGGCGCTGCACAGGTAGAGGTATGCAAAGCGCCTGGTCATGTCGTTTGGGATTTCCCCCGTGCTCCCGGTTGTCAATGTATATGCCTCCAATTCATACCGCGACTATGAGAGCGGAGTGTCGCCAAGTCTCCGCATGTTATTGCGATTGTCCTTGGAGTCCAAGAAGGAATAGTCTGCGGTCTGCTCTTGGATGTCCCGTGGAAGAAGAAAAGGCTGCTGGAGGGAAGTAGAGAGGGCCTCCGGTTATGTCGGCTGCGTTTGCGTCGATCCAGAGTAAAATGCGTTCGAGTAGTCCGTTGAGACCAAGCGCTTGAAGTCCGCCTCGTAAGGAGACCATGCGTTGCAATCCTGTCATATGAGTGTGGAAGGTATCGCGTTGACCGAAAAGGAGTTCGTACGTCGCCATCTTGCCAACAGCAGCGATCATACGATCACTGGTCGCTCTTCCACTTGAGCGATGGTCTTGTAGTGCGCGATTGACCTCCTGGATAGCCATTCCTCGCAGTTGGAGCATGTCTATTCTGTGAGCATTGTCGCCGTGTAGTTTGGCATAGTGAGCAGCCGCAGTGAGCATTAAGGCATGCAGGCTAGCGGCATCCGTGAAGACGAGGCCTAGAAAGTGTGTTCTGAGCAGCTGTCTTGACGTTGAATCCGTTTCTGGTAGATCGACTGCCATGAAGTTGAGATAATGGTCCTGTCTTGCATTAGCTTGTGCGCTCCATGACGGACGAGCGTGTGAGACGTACCATGATCGGTCGCAATGATGCATGCCAGTCCTCTGGATAGATCTCAGTAGGGTTTATGCGAGTGACACCCGTTGAACTTCCAGCTGGTGACGCAGGCGATGAAGCTTCTGGACTGCTCGTCTCTGTCTCAGAATGTCCAGGGGAGCCTGATGAAGGCGTTCGATCGAATGGGACCGACAATGTTGGTGAAGGGAGTTGATCGCTTGAGCCTAGTTGTGCTCGTCGTGCTTGCTCTGCAGCTCTTTGGCGCTGCTTTTTGTGTTGCTCTGTGGTGACATGACTGCGTACGTTGCGCCGAGTCTGCGCATCTCGTGCATCTTGAGGGTGTGAAAAGTTGAGAAATCGAAAGTCGATTGAGTCGCCTGCAGAAGTCGACGACTTGTTGCCTGAGGAGGCGTTAGAGTCATCCTTCATTTTCCCATCGTAGGAAGTAAGAGAGGAAGGAGCATGCTCGGACCGGCTAGGTGCGGGTGAGGCATACCCGCTCCAGGCGAACTGACCTCTTCCTGGGAGCTCGGCAGATCCCATGGTTGCTTCGTGCACCTAGAGTGAACAGGTGAGTGTGTTAAGACAGCGATGGCTGACCAACACCTTGGATGTCAATTGGTATAAGAATGATATATCCATTTGATCTTCAGGGGTCTATTTTCGTTGTGCTTTCACAGCATCGTAATGGAAGCTGGGCGAGGGCACATGGCTCCAATACATCTGTGCCAGTGATACTATTGGGATTATGGTGGCGACGGTTGGTGCCAATGCAGGCCTTGTAAGGCATCGTGGTCTAACAAAATCGCCGCTCTAGGATCTTCGCATTGGGGAGTTCGGCAACGAGTGCAGTGGCTCTTCAATGGCGCTCGAGGTCAACGGTCGAGTGAGACGATTATGGAAGAATCTCACAGAGCATGGCCATTGGCCTCGGGGTGCAGCACAGTAGCGCGCGGCCTGTGAGCCGTCCAGAACGACGGTTTCGGAGCGTTCCACTCCAGCTGGCGTTGCGATATGTACGCCTCAGCCGCGAGCATGCTGCTGCGAAAGGAGAAAGAACCGCCACTCCTCTGTGGCAATAAAGCTGAGTCCAAGAAGAGCTCCGCGCTCGCTTGTGGAGTGAATGCTCAGCTTTGGCCGCCGGGAGACATTCATTGGCCAGTCAGCAATTCCACTGGTGCCCTGCGGAGCTGCAACCGCGCTCATATCCGCCTGTTGGAGGTGCATTGGTGTGCGAAGGGTGGCAGAGAGACGCGTAGAAGGTCGACCACACCCACCGTACCCGGGTATCAGGGTATGCTGCAAGATGCACGATCTTCGATGACGGTCGCACGCATGCTCGCTCGCGTCCCAAAGACCGGGGGCGGACGTCGCCTCGGCATCCACTTTTGCTCCTCCACCGCGGCGGTGGTGTCCCTCGTGTCGGCACGTGTGTCGCAAGAGCCATGCGCAGTACATGTACACGGCACAACGTCAGCTCGGGCGCCAGGGGAAGTCAGAATATTGCGGACGTCACGTCTTGAGTGCGAGAGCCGGGTGGTCTCCGGATGCGGCCGCAGACATCGCCAACAGACGTGCAGTATGCATCCAGCGACACAGAAATGGATGCGATGCTCGAATCCAGCGAGTCTTGGCAACCCATTCAGGCGGCATGATCCAGCGCTTCGTCATGATCGTTGCTGCCGTGCAACAGAGACGAGGGCGTTGTTTGGCGAAGGATGGCAAGGCTTGTCTATCCAAATACTGTCGAAACCGACGTCCCCCTCCACATACGCAAGTAACTGAAGCGATCCGCATGTCTCTGCCTGATTACCCGGTGCTTTAATAAGAACTCGCAGAGCATGCACCATTGTGACACAGCAGCAAAAAGCATACCGCGAACTCGCGTAACCAAGATGTCGGCTACCATCTCAGTGGAGACCACCGCAACGTCACACTACCAGCGCCGCCGCCATTCCAGGAACAAGAAGTCAGATCAACAAGATGCCTTCCTTAGTCTGTCAGACGATGCAGTGGCCGATGCGGTCGGCGCTGTCAGGTGTTCCACCCCGACGCCCTCTACTACAAGCGACAATGGCGACATGCGGTCGAGAACCCTCTTTTCAGAAGTCCGTCGCCCCGTCTGGCTAATTCGAGGTGTCGGTTGACAATTTTCTAGCTTGTGCTCACACCGCTACGTGTCATTTCCTTTGTCCCTTCGCTCTGCATCGTCGAATTTCAGCAATGGCGTTGGCGTCAACATGCCTCGGCTGATCAACGATCGAAGCGATGGTGCTTCTCGAATCCTGAGCCGTACCAAGAAGCTTCACGCTCGACGTGCTACCAAAATCACTCGTGGAGCCGACGCGGTATGACAAAACTCCAGTTGTCAGAATCGCTGGAGATTAGTGGGAAAGTGGCAGTGGCGCTTGCTGCATGGTCTATGCTTGGCCTTCTCGCTTGCGTGTACACGATTCGACAGATGTATTCCTGGATGTTCTGTTAATAGAGATGCTCAACGATGAATGAGATGCCGCCATTTTGGGAAGTCTGGAAGGCCTGCTTTGGGAAGATCTCGACCTTCTAGGTTGTCTTGTCTTGGCATCAAGCAGCAAAACATGAGACTATGAAATCTGATTGGGCAGGCGTCAAGCGGCTAAGGGCGAACCTTAAAAGATTGCCCCTTCCGTCCAATGAATCCTCGTCCCTCGGCTTACAGTCGCTACGTCCTTCAAAAGATGGAATTCCAGGAGGTACACAAGGCTCCGCGAACGACATCCCTCTGGGCCTCTGCTACTGTAAGCGGCCGTTCCTCCTCCCTAACCACCGTTCCAGGCCGCGAGGGGGCTCCTCGGCCGCTGCGAACTCTGACGTTCTTTGGAGAGAGTCTCTACATGGGACTTGGCGTGTGAAACCGCCATGCAGAATTTCTGTGACCGCCATTTCTAAAAACCCCCAATGGCTATGGGCGGGACATGTTGCATAAGATTTCGACATATGATCTGCATCTATAGCAGGGCACCTAGAGACCGTCATTGGCTGCCAAAGTTCTTGTATGCTGGATCGAGACGACCCTCGATCCGCCACGATGGGCCTTTCTGATCCCTTGCACAGCCTTGTCTATCCCGCCTGCCCCGATGAAGAGTTCCAAGCTACGAGGCCTGGAGACTAGACATGTTTCGATATGGCCCACTACACATACGCTCAAGGCCATGCAAACAAGCTCGGAACTGTCGAAGACTCCAGCTCATTCGACAACACGAGGCCTAACATTGCACGTGACTACCACGATGACTCGAATGCCGGTCTGCAGCTTGAATGGCATTGCTCGTGGTACGTTGACCGTCGTTCGAAATCAGACGAGCGCCAGTCCCGTGAGACTAGGTCAAGACATACGGCGTGATGTCAACAGGTCAGTCAGACATGGATACCAAGTCCTGGAGTGACTGCTTCGGGACGCTACTGCATTCACAAATCAAGTTGATGGTGCCGATGCTTCTTACTGCTCTCGCCAGAAATGAAGCGCAGTGCTACATTCGGCGTCGATCAAGGCCCTTTTATACGTGTGCGACACTTTGTTCCACCTAGTGGCAGATTGCGCAAGTGTTGTTTTGAAATACTCGCCAAATTCGAACCGCCAAAAGAGCTGCAAGGCTGGCCTTCGCGATGAAGCATATTGAAGCGATGGTCTTTACAACAGCTGACATTGCTGACTGGCCGAGCGCCACATCTCGCGGTTGCGTGAGCATCAGCTGTGCTTATAACAACCACGAAGAATGCCTATACCCTCGAGCCGAGAGACATCTCGGCAATTAGGATCCAGAAGAATCAGTGGCTGGTGTTGTGGAAATATGTCATGACTTCAATGTCTCTCCACCCAAGCAGTATTTAGTATGCAGGTGCGCCGCGCAGGTCGCACAGGAAGCCACAAAATTACGAAGGTCGAAATTTGCCTTTTGAAGTCTGATGTCGAAGAGGAATAGGGAGATTCAGGCGACGGACTCAACCATGAGCTCTACTGACACTCCATGCTGATTCACCTTCTCCGCATCGACAGGACTCGACAAACCACCCAGTATCGGTCGATCACATCGTAAGAAACGCGGGACTTCATCCTGTGCGTTGAAAATAGAAGCTTTGCATTGCGTTAGGTCCATAGAAGGTTGTGCTGGTCGCAGTGCATAGCAAACGTGACTCCGAAACTTATTTTCGTACTAGCGAATTGCGCCTCGAACTCTTGTTCATAGACAAGACAGATCCGTCTTCCAACCTCTCCTGCTCGACTGGCCACTTCCTGGCAGATTCTCTTGTATCGGTGGAATCTAGACTAGTCACAACTGTCCTGAGAGAGAGAGAGAGAGCTGAAGAGCGAAAGTTTTGCTCTGCCACCAGTTCTTAATGGCATCGAGGCAGTGAGAGTATCGTCGTGATGCCCCGGTGGTGTTTATCATGGAGTTCAGGTAAGGTGAATGGCAAGGATAGGACGGGACGATGTTCTTGCTCTCTGAAGACTGGCTTTCGCTAGCGTGGCGCTCGAGCCACTTATCTTGGCGGATAAGGCAGGGCAGGAACCTCGACTTCTTCCATGAGAGTAGCATCGACATGGTCGATGTCTCTCACCAAAGAAGCATTCGAGACAGGCGTCAGAAAGCTATGTGACACCTGGCAAACACTCCAAGATGCGATTGAATGGGAAGAGGTGAGGTTGCTTCAGCAGGTATGTCAGAGCATCAGGAACATTTGCTATCACGGTGATTCTGATTCCGATAGTACGGTGTCAAATTTCTCCGTATCAAGAGGCGTATGCGAGTCTCCGAATCTATTCAAATTCCAGAGCCCCCTGAGCCGAGTGATGGGGAATATCTCGAGGACGATCCAGAAGCCCTTCAAACTGGACGATCTCCTGCTCACAACGAAGTCCTCATTACTTATGACATAGTGCACTCGCCATCGTACCAGGTGCCCGTGCTCTACCTCACAGCCAAGTATGGATGTAATTCGAGCTCACTCAGCATATCGGAAATACACCGGCTTTTGGTCCCGGACGCCTTCAAACAGCAAGTCGAGGCTGTGGGTATAATGGGAGCCCTCAGCATGACAGATCATCCCGTAACGAGTGTGCCCGTGTACTTTGTGCACCCTTGTCGGACGCAAGAGGCAATGCAAGCGGTGTTGAGCGGCAGAGAAGCAGTTCCAGTGGAGTACCTTGCGCTCTGGCTTGGCTTGGCTGGCGGAAGTATCGGGCTGAGTGTGCCTGTACCTTTGATTCAGGCATTGAAGCTTTGAGGACGTCAGAATCGTATTCTTGAAGCCCAAATTGTCGCATGCCTACTTTAGCCACGACTGAACCTGTAAAGACGCGAGCACCGCCGCGCTGTCTTTCCAGTCCAGTCTCAATTTGATGGTGGCCTTCATTGTGCACTTCAATCGCTATCGCTCATTTCCATCTCTCCTCCACTGTCCTCATCCATCGGCGCATCTCCGCCTTCGTCATCTGATTCTTCACGCTGTCGCTTTTGACCAGCTGTACTTGCAGGTGAAGGTGCATTCTCTGCGCCAGCTTTCGCCGCCTCAACAGCAGCTGGCTTCGCGGGCTGTCCATTTGGCTTCGGTGGCAGACCTGGTGGCGGAGGCAGGCCTGATGGAGGCGCATTTGTGCTTCCTGGAGGCGCTGGGAATGAAGATGGTGGTGCAATCGAGTTTGTCGTTGAGGCATTCGGTGCTGCGGCTTTAGAGGCCTGCTCTTCATGGAAGGTGCCCGTCAGCTTTGCAAGCGTGTTCGATCGGCTCTTTGCGTATGAGATTTTCTGTTCATTACATCAATGGACTATTCCACCTTCCCTCTGCAGCAAATTCCATGGGATGCTCACCATTTCTCTCCCAAAGAACTCATAGCCTTGACAGTGACGCATCGCTTGTGTTGCGCTGTTGACGTCGCGGAACAAGACGTGTGCTTGTCCACGCATCTTCGGAGTCTTCAGCGCAGTAATATCCAGGACTGGTCCATATGTGCTCAGAAGCATATAGAGGTTGCGCTTCAGATCTGCCTTTTGCAATTTCTCTGGCAGGTTCTGGATGTACAGACTCTGATTCGGCGTGACCTTCTGGGCGACCGCATTAGATCCTGGAACGGTGCCTGCGGAAGCCATATTGTTGGAGGCCTGAAGGTGACGGGAAGGGGATGTGTTGCTGCTGGTCGCGTGGTTTGGAACTTTTCTATCTCAAGCATTCAATCGTACCTGTACCTGCCGCCTCGCACTCGGTTTCGGCTGCTGCTTCCGAAAGGTCCCACTTTCTGTTCAGAGGTCCGTCGTCACTCCAAGCAGGCATCCCAATTCCTCACTCCAACTTCAACAGTGACCATACGACAGTAGAGAGAACTCCCCTCCTGTCGCAATGGCCGCACCGCAAGTACATCACCTTTTCCACGCACCAATCTCCGACCACTCCTTCTCCGCCGACCGACGCACGCTGGCCGTGACCCGCGATAATAATGTGGAACTGTATGGAGCAAGCGGAAACAAGTTCTCCCTCCAAGATGAGCTTCGTGGACACGACAAGCTCGTCACAGGTGTAGATATTGCGCCCAACAGCGGTCGCATTGTCACATGCTCCCAGGACAGAAATGCATATGTCTGGGAGCCCAGCAAGACTGGGGAGTGGAAGCCAACATTGGTTCTGCTGCGAATCAATCGAGCCGCAACGTGCGTTCGCTGGAGCCCGAACGAGAGCAAGTTCGCTGTGGGGAGTGGTGCCAGAATCATTGCTGTCTGCTATTTTGAAGAGGAGAATGATTGGTGGGTTAGCAAGCACTTGAAGAAGCCTCTTCGATCAACAGTCACTTCGGTGGCATGGCATCCGAATAGCGTATTGCTTGCTTCAGGAAGCACCGATGGGCATGCCCGTGTGCTTTCATCTTTCATCAAGGGCACCGATGAGAGGCCAGAGCCATCTGCGTGGGGCGAGCGACTGCCATTCAACACTGTCTGCGGCGAATTTCTCAACTCCACAGCAGGATGGGTTCATTCTGTTGCGTTCAGCCCGAGTGGAAACTCCCTAGCATTTGCAGCACACGACAGCAGCATCACGGTCGTCTATCCTTCCGCCCCGGAACAACCACCTCAAGCAGTCATCAGCATCTCTACTCAGCTGCTACCATTCGCTGACCTTCTCTGGATCTCGGAGTCTGAGATTGTATGCGCTGGTTATGATTGTGAAGTCTACAAATTCTCTGGATCTGCTTCTGGTTGGGAGCTTGCCGGATCTCTAGAGAAAGGCAGCGCAGGAGCTGGTGCAGGAGCGGTCAGGGAGGAAAGCGCGCTGAACATGTTCCGCAGCATGGATTTGAAAGGCCGTAGTGGTGGTGTTGATGACACAAAGCTGAGGACCGTCCATCAGAACACGATCAACAGGGTTAGGGCTTACCAAGGCGGAGGGAGTGGACGAGTGTCGCAGATTAGTACTGCTGGTGTCGACGGACGCGTTGTGGTATGGAGTCTCTAGTCAATCAGTCATCACTGATGGCCCGCATAAACCCTGTGGGCTGGATAGACCTCATACCGGGTTTGAATGGATAGTGCAACGCTCAAATACAATCTTCAACTTCTTTATTCCAATGTGCTGCATTCTCCTCCTTGGCCGCGGAAGGCATCACGATCGTGTGTCTTATGACTGAGGTCTTGACCTGGTCAACGGAGGATGGCCCTGTACGGAGCTGAGCTGAGTCCGCAATCTCTTCCCCGTCTTCTCATCCGCTGAAACATCGACATACATCACTTTAACTTCAGCGCCCTGCGGCTTACACACACTCGATTATGTCTGTGAGAGGTTCAAGTATCGAACCAGAAGCCGTCGATGTCGAGACGCGATGCGCCGTCCTCTTGGCGTCTGGAAATCATTGTAACGGGAGCATAGCTTGCAAGCGACACAGCATGGCTGCGAAACGAGCAGTCCCTGGCAGAAGCGCGCCTTATGATCAGCTGCTATCAGTCCATCAAGAGGCCGGACGAGCAAGAGAAGCTTCACCATGAATGTAGTGGATTATTGTCGTAGTTCCGACGCCATGCTGCGACAATCATGCATCTTCAAGGCGTTCATACAGCTTGACTATCTTCTACACCTCTGGAGATCGATGCCCGAATATGACGACCGCTCCTCGGTGTAATGTAGTTCTAGTGAACACGACCGAGGCTCAGTTCTAGTCACCACTAACGAGTCTTTCACTTTCGTTACAGCAATCATATTTCCATCTGGAGTTGTCTACACATCTGCGAACACACCTCCGCTGATGGCTTCTTCCGTCGCGTTCTAAAGCTTACCTTACTGTGGGCCTTTGCTTTGGAAGGACTTCTTAGAAGAATTCAGACGATATCGGGACCGGTGGAGGTATCGCTAAATCAAAGCGGTGGACAGCTGTATATGTGATGCGGAACGAACCAAGGCTACTGCGTGAAATTCCATCTACGTGAGGATGGAGACAAACACAGAAGGATGGGAAGTTGCCGACTCCTTTCAGACGCTACATGGGCACCTTCCTCACTATCTTCCTGCCTTCCGCGATGGAGTTTGAATGAAGACAGTGCAGCTGGTCACTCAGGGTCCTGCTTCATGATTCTGTCCTCAGTACCATACCTTTCTGGACCAATTACTACCTCTCGTAGACTCATACTGAGGACATTTGCTTACTACAAATATGTCTTACTACAAAACCCAAGGAAAGACAAAGCCTGTCAGAACTTTTCGTAAAGTCTACGACAAATTGTATCCTCCTCGCTCAAGTAAAAAAATTCCTCGCTCCAAGAGAAATGGCAGGATCACAGAGACCAGGGCCCCAAGACGAGGTACGCTTTAAGAACGGATGGACCACGTTGCTACGAGAGTACGTGCCTCCGCGGGAATCGATAGAGTCTGATCCGATTTCAGATACCTCGTCTCCAGAGGAATCGAACGAAGAGACGTTGATATTCGAGCGGGATTCTGCCACAATCTCTCAGTCGCCAGCAGACCAACAACCAGACCCGCCATCTACATCTTCTGCCGATGAGCCAGCGACTCTACCCCCCTTCGCTGAGCTCGAACACTCCACCCAAGCTTCTGCGCCGCCCCGGCTGGTCCATCTTCGCCATCTTCTCCATCTTCACAAATCCACACCAAGAGAGCGAGTGCTACCAGCCCTGGCTGATCCAAGTCAATCGCCGTCTGGACCAATTCCACCACCCTCAGGGCCGGCGCCAGCAATTCCGCCATTGACAATGGCACACTCCAGTGGGGAGCTGCCGACACTGCCAGGGCTCCATCCTCCAATGACCTTCAAGAATCAAGACTTGAACGACGCTGCGACATTGGCGATGCAGCTCAAGAATGAGGGTCGGACAATGCCAACGACACCGATAACTAGTGTGTGTCGATTCGGAAGTATGTATCCTTCGTGCAACTGTGCCAGAGGACGGAGACCGAGCCACTTTTGAGCGTTGAAGCGTATTCGGAACAAATTGGAATTCGAAAGCTTTCGTAGACCTTGGAAATGAGAGTATGACTTTCACTTCACCTTCTTCCGGGCAGCCGCAGCTTTACTATTCCTAGATTTCTGCTTCTGTCTTGTGACTGCTCGTTCGGCTTTACTCTCATATCGGAATTTCTTTTTCTTGACCTTTTTCTTGTCATCGCCATCCTTTTGCCAGGGTCGTTTCTTCTTCATTGGATGCTCGGGTTTCTTGATCGTCAAGGATGCCTCTGCTTTGGCTTCACCGACTTCATCATCATTGTCTTCGCTCTCCTCGCCCATAGGTTCTACAGTGACTGTTGTATACTTGTCCTCGTCGACGTATTCTTCGTCCGAAGGGAGGACTTCTTCTGCGGCGCCTTCTGTATTTTCAAAGCCTTCAAAGTCGTCTTCACTCTCGTCGCCATTTATTAGGGCATTCTGCTTCTTGAGTTCCTCGTTGACGGCTTGGACGTGTTCTTCGACTTCTTGCTTTTTTTGTTCTCGGAGCTGATCTCCAGTCAGCGCTTGTGCAAGTCATGGTATACTGCTCCTAATCTCCATACAGCCTTTCTCTCCTTGATCTTCTCTTCCTTCTCCCGTTTTATCGCAACTTCTTTCGCGTGGTCCTTCCGGGCTTGCTTGCGCTTGGAGAATCCAGTCAGATATTCCTGTCGCGCTTCCGGATTAAATGTGAGTTCTTCAATCGGACCGTATCGATCACCCCGTTTGCGCTTCTTGCCGATCGGCGCCATATTGCTATACAGCGAAAATGGAGTTGATCTCGAAATTTTGGTCCTTGCGCGCAGCCTGAAGCTTCGCGGTCAATCGGCGCTTGCGCTTGCCGAAAACGTCACCTCACAACTCGAGCTTCATCCCAGAGGCAACGAGCAACGAGATCTTGATACAGCACCAGCACCACGCCATCACACAAAATGCGGTTACAAAGATTAATCGCCCTGCTCGCATCAGCAACCTCGACATACGCCCTGAGAGACTCGTCGCCCTTTTTTCTCCTCTCCACGGAGACGTCGCAAAGCATACCCAGCGACCAGCTCGCAACCGCCTCCCACCTCGAAGACGGCCTCATCTCCGCCCTCTCGAAATGCGATTCGAATCTCTATTTCTTCGTCACATATCCCGGTCTTCACAGTCGAGATCTCTCCAGCAGTGATGCGATGCCCGAACTACAGAAACGGGTCAAGAACTGCGACTACAAATCGGTAGTCCAGATCCCAGAAGTGATCGGCGCCACAGATATCGCACGAGTAGCGCACTCCGTGAGCCAAAATTGTCGGATCGAAGAGTTTAGTCTCAAAGATGGCATGCCAGAGAATAAGAAAAAGGCCATCTTCGGACCTATGACTCTTCCTTCCCTCACATCTGATGCGGCCGAGAAGAGGATGGAAGATATTCAGAGTCAGGACTGGTTACTCAATTCAAAGATCAAGGATTTGGTTGCGAATCATACGAAGCATACAATTCTGCTGGTTGGTGTGCCGAGTGAGGAGCACAAGACTGCTACTCTGGAGTGGGAGCAGGAGGATGAGCCGCCTTTCGAGAGGAATATGCATACAGATTTGAAGAGGGACTTGGAGACGGGGTTCAAGAGGCAAACGAAGAAGAGCGATAATCCGCAAGATGAGTTGCCGCTGTTTGAGAAGTATCAGTTTTTGAGTCCTGGTAAGTTGGGATTGGAGAGTGCGGTGGTACTGGATGAATTGCTGACATTGTGATGATAGGTATTTTCATGGGTCTGACTGTCTTCTTGCTCCTGTTTGTTATCCTCTACGTGGGTATCACGGCCATAGCGGGACTTGAGGTTTCGTACATGTCCTTCAGCAAGGAGATGGGACCAAATGCGCAGAAGAAGCAGCAATAGGGAGAGTCGGGGGCAGCGTAAGAGCGCGTGTATGAGCAAGATCAAGATATGTACAATGAAAGACTCAGAACTTTTCCAGTGATACGGCGTTTCAAGGGGAAATTTGGAAAATAAGATCGAGCCAGGATGAATCCCGTTCATGATTTGGAATCGTAATTGCTCTTTACGAAGGACGAACTTCTTTCAGTGACGGCTTAAGGTCCCTTTTCTGGACGCCTCAACAGACATCTGGTGTCTCACGTTCAAAAGACACGTGCTGATTCGATTCATTTAATACTACCAACGATGCTACTGCGTATGGCACCATGACACGCACCTCGATAGAATACATGGACTTCTGCTGCGTAGCGCCAATAGCTGCAGGTCACGAGTATTGCCTGTGAGGTTGCGCCTAGGTGTACGACCTGCACTTCCTGATCTCGCCGTGATCCGCGGTAATTATCTCTATCAATTCTGAACATATGAGACTGCTGCTCATGAATGGTATTGACACAAGCCGAGCAAAGTAGGAATTCCCCATGGCATGAAAGCAGGCAAGAATTGAACTGCTTCATATGCGTTGGATGCTTAATGAAGTTGATCGGTCAATGCTTCCAGGAACATGGTTGACGCGTATATCGACATCACACAATGGGCACTGCTGACAAAAGATGCTACAATAGCAAAATGGGAACCGCCCATTGCTCGATAGCATAAGAGGAGAAGGCAAACTCGAGCATGCAAAGACATGCATCCTGACCAGCTGATCGATCAGTGCTTCCAGGACGCGCAACATCATTGGGCGACTTACATCTGAGCAATCATGCCATGAATGGTCGACGAGAGTGACGGGATATCTGTCAACAGATGGAGCCTCTTTTCATGATGGACCGTGCGCGGCTTCATTTGACAGTGAAGCAAATGCATCACGAGAGCAGACATTACACTCTCATAACGATTGGCTCCTAAGCTGTTCACTCTCTCATTCTGTTATACAAACGAACGTCTACGAAAAGTGCGGCTGCTTCTCCTGGCTTGCAAATTCTACAATGCATCTTGTAGTAGTGGTATCATGCTAAGAAAGTCCGAACGCCAACCCAATATCAAAGTCCTTCAAAGTGGCCGATCAGAGATTTTAGACAGAATCAAGCTGAAAGACCTCCTCTTCTTCCTCAGAAGCCACTTCGGGAACAGCGAACGGGTCGTCATCATCCTCATCATCTTCAGCAGTCTCAAGCTTCAAGCCGAGCAATTCATCCAGAGATGTGATGGCCTTCTCTGGCTCCTTGGATGCAGTGTTTTGTCGTTTCGCATGGATATCTGAGAGTGGTCGACGGGCAGAAGCTGAGACGGCACGGCCTTTCGAGTATCCCAAAGTGGTATTTGATGCGGCTTTGGCAGCTGCGAAGCGTGGGTTTGACAGTGACGGAGTTGGCTTCTTCGCAGTTGTCGTCGAAGAAGAGATAGGCTGACGAGCCTTGGCTGCGGTTGTGGGTGCTGCGAATCGTGGTACGGTCGTCTTGCTGCCTAATGCTGATGCAGCATTCTGTGCTCGAATCGTGGGTGGAGCAGCTGTACGCGATACAGGCTTCGCGGCAGATTTCGCCTTCTTCCCTTTCTCTTGTACCTCTTCAAGCTTTCTGCACTTCTCTCCAAAATCACTGAGCTCGCTGTCGTCTTCGTCTTTGCGAGGGCCATACTCGCCCCACCAACCGCGCGTGAGATTAGTGCCTTTGAGGACGTCCAGATTCAATTCGTTTGGCCAGAAGTCTTCATAGTCGTCTTTCATCGGTACCTCACGCGGCGCCATGTATTCGGTTTCGCGCTCTTCTGGATCTTTCGCGAGCACATCTTCTGCAGACTCGATGGTCTCGTGGACCTTGATCTTGGAGCGGCGGAGACGTGGTGATGTGGGCTTATTGCTGGCTTGACCATGGCCATCCTTGTTCGGTACATCGAGTAAGGGCGTCTTGGGCGCTTTCGCGTTCGTCGTCTTGTTTCCGAGGGGTGCGCGTGCCTTTGGATCTAGAATCATTAGCTACATGTCGGTGTCTGCATAGCGATTGGGAACTCACTGGCTGGAGTCACGAAAGCGCTACGGTCGAGCTTGCCGCCCTTCGCTCCAGTCTTCCCGCCTAATTGTGTCGCATTCTCATCGTTCCTGTTGCTCTTGAATGGCGTCTTTGCTGGTGTCTTGGGAGCCAGTCCTTTGACGCCTGCGTTTAATGGCTTCGATGCCGCCGCCGTCTGCTGGTCGTGGATCGCATTCTCATCCCGTAATCGTGCCGCGAACATGATGTCGTCTATTATTCTTCCTTCTATGCTTCGGATTCAAGCCGTCATATCAGTCGTGTGATGCGTGGATTTTGTACGTGGTAAGGAGCACCTTGAAGTGCTCGAGCGTTGCGGCCGGTAAACAGACTACCGGATTGAGCAGCAAGCTTTGAACCCTTGAAACGGCGCCTCAAGCGGAGGAAGCAGCACAAGCCTCGCGGGCAGGGGTCCCAAATCCAACTCCCACTTTGCTGGTGCACAAAGCAGTGAGATCGCAGCCTCCACCGCCAACCACACGCCAGATCAGTCTGCCTCAGCTTTCTCCGACAGCTCCAGCTACTCGACCACCATCACTCCCGCCTCTCAGTTCTTGTATTTGGAATCCCCATACTGCCGCAACCATGGACCAGATCAAGAAGGTACGTAGACCGCCGCCTGAATGACCCCTCAATGACCACAGAAACACCCATGCCATATGATCAATCCTACTCGCACAGCCTGCCGCACTTGCGTTGATCTACCTTCTTGACGCTCTACGATAATGCCTCTCATACTATCAACTGACATGATTGCAGCGTATGGCCGCATTGCGCATTGAGGCCGACGAGTCCGCCGCCAAAGCCGAAGAGCTGTCCGCAAAGGTCAAGACCCTTGAGCAAGAAAACCTGCAGAAGGAGCAAGAAATCACCTCTTTACAACATAAGAACTCTATGCTCGAGCAGGAAGTTGAGAAGCTCGAGAAACTCCACGGTGACGCCAAGGCAGCAGCAGACGATAGCGCACAGCATGGAACACAGAACGAGGCTTTGACGAGGAAGCTGCAATTGCTCGAAGAAGAGGCCGAGGAGAACGACAAGCAGCTGCGCGAGACAAATGAGAAGTACGTATCATCACTCACACAGCCTCCGCCGAATACCGTCACCCCTGGGTGGATCGATGAGTGGAGGTGCGACTGCACTTTCACATTTCTGGAGCCTTCCATATAAGTGTGCTGATGGTATGCTGATTCTGACGACAGACTTCGCCAAACTGATGTCAAGGCCGGCCACTACGAGCGTAAAGTCCAAGCCCTCGAAGCCGCGCGCGACCAATGGGAGACCAAGTACGAGGAGATGGCCAAGAAATATGCCGACACCAAGAAGGAGCTTGATGACTTTGTCGCCGAGATTGGTAACATCTAAGCACATACACAACACCAATCACAGACACCTTTCGACGGCAGACAAGTGATGGCTAATGCGACAAAGCCGATGTGGTATTTGTAGGGCCAGAGTACACCAACTTCTCAAGACCGGTGCTGGTGAAGCAGGCGAGCAGATATCCTCCGTGCTGAGGGGAGTGCGGGGACTATTGAGGAGACATCTTGTCCTTTTACCTTCCTTTTTGCCTCTCGATAGATGATGGCTCGGAGATGGGAATGTTCAGAGCTCGAGTTGAGAGCTGTTCGAGCTGAATGCAGAATGCCCACTGAATCACAATCCATTACCCTTAACTACACTTTGAATCTTGCTCCGCCCTTTTCTCGTCACAGACTCGTCTTATTCTGCGTTGTCTGGTGGGAGGAGCAGAAGACGAACCTGACCAGCTCATATGCATAATAGGATTTGTCATCAACGACCGTGATGATGTTCATGTACCAAGCTTAGAAGAGGCAGCGTGAAGTCGAGCTCTTGAATCGGCACATACACTACAAGCTGAGAGGACGAAGGATGAAGTCTCCGCATTCTGTTCACAGCACTTCGCCGGATAGACTGTGGTATCTAACAGCAAGTCTCATGGCTTTTGACAGCACGAAATTAGCGAGTGAGCCGACCTCATCGTCGGCAAGCCTTGTCACGTGACTTTGGCACTGACTGCGATACGTGCTTGCAGCATTTTCATGTTGCTGGACGAAGCTCAGAAACCTTTCCTGTTTCCAGCGATATCATTTTTGAGGTGTGTGCTGTCGATGCGGTGATGGGTATTCGCTCGAAATCGTCGATGATGGCTTGGCTGGAGATGGACGAGCAGCGCGGAAAGCTAGGTTCAGTTCAGTCGCGAGGCAGTGCCGCAGATATTCTTATTGTGGCCGACAGCGGCAGAGTCAGCAACAATATCATCGGTTTGCCCACTACACAGACAAGCATGATGTTGGCATAGATGTTGTCGGTTGCGCAGGTGTTGGGTGTGGAATGAGAGAGGAGCTGATCGTCGCATCGTGGGAAGCAAGGCAAGCAAGCTAGCGCCGAATCGCTCCCTGAACCTCCTCTCACGCCTCACGGCAGCAACATCACTTTCACCATCGCCCGCACCGCCCAACGCCCATACACTGCCTAGCTTCTGCTGACCCAGGCCAAAGCTCCGTCTCCGCCAGCAACACGCCATATTCACTTACTTTGTTGCTCACAGGCCGGCAAAAGGCACACTGCAACTCTCTAGCCCCCCCACGCGTCGCGCCCGCCGAGGAAAAGTTGGCAACGGCGACATCAGCATCACCGGCCGTCGGACTCGACCCGCATGCTATCTCCCTGACTCCCACTCGCACACCACGGCATGCGGCACATGAGGCGGGCTTGAGCTGCTCCGCGACGTTATGTCGCAGTACGGCGGCATCGAGGGCATCAACAGCATATCCTCGCCCGGCTCGCTCAAGCGCAAGCGACCTACACCTAATATCGCGCGTACGCGGCCGTCGCCTGGCGCAGCGGTCAACAGCACTTCCTCGAGGCATATGGCTACCACCAATGGCGCTTCCGCTTCGCTGTACACTTCACCAGACTCAGACTCGCTCGGCAGCACGGCCTCTTCGGTCTTCACCTCAAACTCACATGCCTTTGCGCAGAACCGCAAAGCATCCACCAATGGTCTGACACCTCTCACAAACCACACAGAGTCCTCGCCACCCAAGGGCAATAGTCCGCAGCACTCGAAGCATACCGCAGATATGGCCTCCACGTCGCACGTGCCTGCCTCTGATCTCGCGTCCTCTTCGCAAGAGCGCACACCACGTCCACAAATGCTACCGCCACCAGGTCAAGTGAAAGGGTACAGAGCGGTTTGGGATCCGGAATTGGACAACAAGCTCAGCAGAGAAGAGCGCAAGCGAGCCATATTCAGGAAAAGAGACTTCGGCGCAGAGGTACGATATACTTTTCATATTTTGCTGAGCTTGCGTAACATGATACACATAACTTGAAGACGAGAAAAAAGTTAGAAAACCGCTCTGTACCCTTTCGCTGACAATTGGACAATGGCAGGCATACCAACCAGATGCGCCACCGGATCCGAGACTGGCGATACCGGGGTATATATCCGGCCAATGCAGGCCGAAGACTGCACCCAGCAAGGCGATTATGCGAATCTCGCCCTACACAATACCTCCTTACAAGGTCGATCGGAATTCGATTGGGCCCGGAGAGGCGGAACAGGTCGTTGTGCTTGGCTTCGATCCTTTCCTGCCAGAATCGACATTGAAGCTGAATTTCAGCACTTTCGGAAACATCGCTTCAGTGCAGAACAAGACTGATCCAGAGACCGGGAGCTTCCTAGGCATTGCCTTGGTGAAGTATCGAGATGCTGTTAGGGACGGCTTCGAGGTATCAGCTGCTTCGGCAGCAAAGAAAGCTGAAGAGTTCAGTGGACAGCGGATCGGCATGCATGCTATCAAAGTCGAGCTTGATCGCGAAGGCCGAAAATGCAAGCGATATGTGGAAGCTGCCTTGAAGAAGATGCGAGAAGAGCGTGACAGACATCTGAACGCAGCACCACCCTCTGCTCCAGCAGAAGACAAGAAGTCTGGGAAAGCGTCGACACCAGCTGCTCCTTTGAACGCGCCACGAGGCCCCTCCGCGAAATCCTCTAAACCACCTCCATCGGGACCGAAGGGCTCTAGAGCTGAAGATAGTGGCCCACCTGCCAAGTCTGGTCCAGCTTCATTGATCGAGGACAAGTCAGTTCTCAGCAAGATCAAGCGCAAGCCTTATATTCATATCCCGCATAAGTCTGTACCTGTGCTCGGAACGACCATACCTCACTTGAAGAAGAGACTGAAAGCGTACGATTGGCGAGAGGTCCGACTTGACAAGTCCGGCTATTACGTGGTATTTGACGACTCTAAGCGTGGCGAGGATGAGACACAGCGTTGCTATGACGAATGCAACAATGCGGCTCTCTTCACATACAAGATGGCAATGGAATGCCAGAAGTACGGCAATCCTGATTATGAGCGAAGTCCAAGTCCCGAGCGAGTGGTACAAGAAAGCAAGAAGCGGGAAGAAATTGAGCGACTACAACGGGAAGAGGCTGAAGATTTGGAGATCGAGAAGAAGAGCAGGGCTGAGAATCTCGATCCGGTCCAAGGCGCTCTGGAACAGCTTCGCATGGAACTCCGAGACAAGATCCTCAACGACATCAAGCAACGAATAGCCATTCCTATCTTTCACGAAAGCCTCGAGCCAGCCAAGCATGTCGCGAAACGAAGAAAACTTGGCTTGCCCGATGCCGTGGACCAAGAGAACAAAGCTTCTGCTTTGTTGTACAGCAAAGCGGGAGACGCACCTCCGGATTTCCCGAAATCACGTCGCGGAAAGCCCCTACGACCGCACGATCCAAATCAGCGAGGCAGAAAAGGCGACAAGAACAAGGAGCCAAGCAATGCCTTCATCGACGAGAGAAGACGAAAGCCTGCGCAAAGGCCTGTTCACGCCAGAGGCCTGCACTTCCGACTACAGCAAATGTACGCCGAAGAGGAAGAAGAATCGGACGACGAACGGCATACATCTGTCACACGCGATACCGAAGATCAAGAAAGTAGGCCGCTTAGTCGCGCAAGCAGGAACTCGACGCCATTCGATTCGGAGTCGGTCACGGATACGCCCAAATCGAAGCGTCGCAAGGTTGCTGAATGGGAGGACGAAGAGAAGGAAACGTTCGATGCCTTCCACAAGGAGATGCTTGGTCACCTCTTGCATAAGGAGCCTGAGGACCTTGCAACTCGTGAGCTAGAGCTTGTGGTCAACACTCTTCCTCGTACATCCAAACATGGCACACGCGCTCGTACCGAGCTCTATATCCGGCAGCGATCGAGAGACGATGACGATCTTTTCCAAGTTCATTCTGAGAAGGCGACCGGCGAGGCGGCACTCGAAAAATCGGTATTGGCGACTACTGAAGCTGCGGCCGATGATGCCAGAGCCACGAAAGAGAAGTCGAAGAAGAAGCGCAAGACCAAGAAACAGCTCCTCGAAGAGCAAGAAGCCCTCAAGGCTGAGGCGAAGAAGGCCAAGGCTGCAAGCAAGCCGGTCGCTGAGGAGACCGTCACCAAGATTGAAGAGAAAGAGCGTGAGCTTGAACAAGCGCCTGTCGATGAGGACGTTGAGCTGGATCTCACGTACGACAAGCCTCGGAGAACGGTCGAAGAAGATCATGGCATGATACTTGACATCGATGGCTGGCAGCACTTCATCAAGGACGACGAGGACTTTGCTTTCGCGAAGAAAGCAGTTGTTGACCTCACTGCTTATGAATTGGGAGACCCCAGAGCGTGGGCTTGGAAGCAGAAAGAGATCAAGGAGCTCAATAGTAGTGGTGAGGCAGGTGTTCCACATCCAGAGCCTCTGATCTCTGGTTACTATGTGCCGAACCCAACAGGATGCGCTCGGACCGAGGGCGTAAAGAAGATTCTGAACGAGGAGAAGGGCAAGTATCTGCCTCACCGCATCAAGGTCCAGAAGGCTCGAGAGCAGAGACAAGCTCAAGCAACTGCAAATCCGGCAGCTGCAGCTGAAGCTGTGAAGATCGCCGCAGCTGAGAAGGTCGCCAGCACTGCAACATCACGAAGCAACCGTGTCAACAACCGTCGTCTCGTCAATGACATCAATCTTCAGAAGCAAGCATTCGCGACTTCAAACAGCGATGCTGATGTCGCCATCCGTTTCAATCAGCTCAAGAAACGCAAGAAACTGGTCAAGTTTGATCGTTCCGCCATTCACGGCTGGGGTCTCTACGCCGAAGAGAATATCGCTGTCAACGACCTGATCATCGAGTACGTCGGAGAGAAGGTCAGACAAAAGGTGGCCGACATGCGTGAGATCAAATACGACAAGCAAGGTGTTGGCTCCTCATATCTCTTCCGCATGATTGACGATGAGATTGTCGATGCAACTAAAAAGGGTGGCATTGCTCGTTTTATTAACCACTCTTGCGATCCCAACTGCACAGCAAAGATCATTAAGGTCGAAGGCACGCCGAGAATCGTCATCTATGCCCTGAAAGATATTGGCAAGAGTAAGTCCCTCCAAGCACAACATAACTACCAAGCCCCTTTACTGACGAATGCCAATAGACGACGAATTGACCTATGACTACAAATTCGAACGTGAATACGGCTCGACCGACCGAATACCATGTCTTTGTGGTTCTGCGAACTGCAAGGGCTTCTTGAACTAAAGATACCCAGCGCCACTGAAGGAGATGTCTACAACGTAATCTTGGCAAAGTTCGAACGCTATTGTTACACTATGGCTTTCCTTGTCTTTCGGGCGGCGTTCAAAATTTGGTGCATCTGCGAGGCGCTGGTGATTCTTATCTACAGGAGTTTTGTGCCAGCAAATGGAGCACAGGCGTGTGCGAAGCGCAGAGTATACGCCTGGGGTATGACATGTAAGAAGAAGGATCGGACGAAAGACGGCCGACCAGCCAGAAGACCAAAAGAGTCCAGACTGAACTTGAAGAGTGAGAACTGACATGCCCTCTCTTCTCATGATCGTGATTTTGTGTCGCGACATCTGCGTTGGTAATGATGTGCGAGCTCCTCTCAAACTTTGATTGCCTTGATCGCTATAGCCCAGTACCCGCTTCTCACCACATTCCCAATGCTCGCATGCAATGGGCTCTGCATACGTTGAGCTCATTGCCGAATGTAGCACACGCGAAAGGAAACAGAAGCCAATGCGAACCGGGAACCTGGTCGAACAATGTCAGAATTCCAAGTACTTAACGCGCCATCGACGTTCACCATGATGGAAGAAAAGCATGACGCTCTCGTCGTAGGTCTTGGCTTCGGTGGTCTGTACTCTTTGTGCCTGCTCAAGCAGCTCGGTCTCGACGTCAAGGCGGTGATCTGGTGCAGATGTTGGAGGTCAGTCCACACAACGCTTCTTGGAGAAGCTGAAGAAATCGAAACTGACAAGCCTCACAGGCACATGGTACTGGAACAAGTGAACATTCTCCACCAAGACCAAGACTGATCACTAACCTCCTCCAGATATCCAGGCGCCCGCAGCGACGTAACAAGCGACACCTACCGCTGCTTCTGGAACAAGGACTCTCTCAAAACCTCTCCATGGGAACGCAACTATCTTCTGCAGCCCGAACTCCAACCCTATTTACGCCAAATCGCAACCAAACACGACCTCTACCGCCACATCGCTTTCAATTCAGACCTCCAATCAGCCCATTGGGACGAGACCAACAAAGTCTGGCGAGCCACCACTTCCGACTCCAAGACTTATGTTGTTCGTTACCTAGTCACATCCCTAGGAATCACTCACAAACCCTACATCGCCGTACTCCCTGATCTCGACACGTTCTCAGGACGAATCACGCACAGAAATGGAACGACGAAATTTCTTGGGAAGGAAAGAAAATCGCAGTCATAGGTTCCGGAGCCAGTGGTGTTCAAATCACATCTAGTCTCGCCGAAAAGGCAGGCAGTCTGACTCAATTCATCCGTCACGCACAGTAAATACATCCTGCCCGCAAAATACCGAAAAATCTCCCCGGCCGAACGAGAAGTCCTCAAACGCAGACTACGAACAACTTTGGCACCAAGTTTTCACATCAGCAGTAGGATTCGGATTCCCTGAACCCAACCGTAAGACGTTTGCCGTAAGTCCCGAAGACCGCGAACAAATCTTCCAAGACCTTTAGGAGTCTGGATCAGGCTTTAGGCATAGTATATTATACTATACTAAATATAGAACATTTTTGTCTTATATTACTAAGCCGTAAACCTTCTAGATAAAAAGATATAAAGATAAGAAAAATTACTTTTCTAGAAATTCTACTTCTAGTTTTTTTTCTAGTAGATTTACGGCTTAGTAATATAGTAGAAAAGTACTCTATTTTTAGTATATTATATTGAAAAATATTGAATTTCTAGATTTCCTAAGAAACTAAAGCTAGGAAAAAGAAATACGTAATATAGTATTTTAGCTTTTTCTAAGTTATACTTAACTATTTTTTGAAATCTAAAAAACAGAACTTAAAGCTCTATCTATTAATAAGACTATAATAGATTTTTAAGTTTTAATACCTAGTATTTATCTCAGAATCTAGAAAAGAATCTCGAGTATCTCGAGTATACTTTTTTATAAAGTTCTACTTATTAAGCGTCGGCTTTTAAAAAAAACCTTAACGTAATCTCGGCTATATTTAGCGAAGCCTTAACGAAAAAAATTATTAATTATAAAAAAAACCTATAAACCGCTAAATTTAATATATATAAGTACGTAATACCCCGAAATGCCTTATAAAAGTAAGTAGTATAGTTTAGCCGGGCTCTAAGTCCTACGTCCGACTTTTACGTTCCTAGGAATCTCGGGTATTCCTTAGCCCTATACTCCTTCGAATTTTAGGACGGCCTATTCTAGAGGATCGCTTATAATCGATAGAATCGTAGAGTCGCGATCCTATTAGATAAGATCTTTAACCTACGATCCTAAGGATCCTAAGAATTCTAACGATCCTAAGCAATTCTAAGCGATCCTATTAATAAGATCGTCGTAATTAGGAAAAAAGTTTTTATAATAGCGATAGATACTATCGAGAAGATATAAAAGAGATAAAAGGAATAGCCTAATCTCCTTATTTAAGTAAGTACTATTAAGGCTAATAAATTCCGCTCTTAGCTTATATAATAGAATAAGGAAATAGTACTTAATACTTAGTAGAGGTAACTATAAGATACTTAGACTACTATCGCTAAGGTACGCGCCTATCGATTAAATTATAGTAAAGCCTTCTATATTATATTTAATAATAATAGTAAGGTTAAGTTTATAGATATATCCTTATAGTTAGTCGCTATCGATAAGCTACTTTTACGCGTCTTTAGCTTTTACTTCTTAATTATAATAATAATATTATATATAAAAATAACGTTTAGAAAGTTAGCGATCTATATATAGATATTATTAAAGAATATAGGCAATATAATAAAGTTAACGACGACGGTACTATTACTATAACGTAGATACCTATATAGATAATATCGCTTCTCTTACGTATATACTATATACGACTTATATAAAGAAAGCGACCTTCCTATATAGCGCGACTTTATCTTAAAGTAACGGCTTAATAGCTTAGTCTCTTAAGAGCCGGATATACGATAAGGTTAGCTTAAATAGATAGAAGCGGTACTAGCTAAGAATCTATTTCTAGGCCTCTAGCCTTATCTACTATATCCTTGCTACTAACTAGAGACTACTTAGAAGAAGAGATATTTCTACTACCTCCGTTTAGGCCTTTGTATATTAAGAATTGAGTTGTATAGTGGATTGGCCGAGATTTAGGGTCTAGATCAAATTAGGCTTAGCTTCCGTCTTTCCGGTTAGCTAATTACATACTACTCTACCTAATTCTTTGCCTAAAGGCCTAAAGCTAAACCGCTGATTTTTATCGTAGACTCCGCTATTAAACTACTATCTCGTAGCGACACCAACTATCGGTATATCTAATACGCTAAGATTATAGCGCTGCTAATTGCGAATTAGAATATCTAAAAATCTCGTATATACGACGTATATACGTTAAGTTATACTAAATCCCGCGAGGCGACTTTATCTATAGCTGTCCGCTACTAGCGTACCTAATATACACCGAAACGGCAACTCCTAAATCTCGCGTACCTAACACTTAGAGGTCCTTAATTAGGGCCTTCCGACTAACTCATTTGCTATAAGCAACTGCGTGCGACTTCTTACTATTAAGTTCTTGTCGAGGCGGGAGATAGAGGCCGTAACGACCTCCTTTAATCTTAACCGAACTAACTCGAGGCCCTTCGTAGAGTGCTTCTTAATCACTTTAATGAGACACTCGAGTGCCTGCGGTATAGTAGTGCTAAGTTCTCGTTACTCCGGCGACGCTATTTACTAGCGGCTTAGAAGGCACTAGATTTATTACCCCTAATATACTCGAAACCTCCGCGAGCTCGTAGACCTAGTATTTCCGACTAACATTGCTATAAATACCGTGCTCGTACGATACCGCATTGTTAAGATATAGCTAAATAGCAGACGCGACTTTAGCTAGCTACTCGAGTCGATATTTCGAATACTAATTAATACCCGCGATACTAACTAATATAAGCGGCTCCGACTTAACTAATTAAGCTAACACTTCCGAGCTTAATCGTCGTAGCGGAGATAATTAGCATAGCTCTTCTTATCTAATAGAAGCGCTACTAATATCTAAACTAGACCGTCGTAGCGAAGAAGATATCGGCCTGCTGCCTCGACTAGATAATAAAGACGAGGAAATGCCTACTCCGGAAGACCTACCGCTACTAGGAGAGACTTCCGATATACTAGGCCCTTTATCCGATCTGCTAGGTCCTGTATTCGCTAGTATATTCGCCGGTCTAGTACTCGATAAAGATCGCCGCCGCTAGCGCTAGTACTATAGCGACTACTATAACTCTAAGAATATACTAGGCGATAAGGACCGCTTAGCTGCTCGCCGCTAGCCTACTCGCCTTCAGCCTACTCGCCTTTAGCCTACTCGCCTTTAGCCTACTCGCCTTTAGCCTGCTCGCCTTTAGCCTGCTCGCCTTTAGCCTACTAAAGAGCGCGCTACTCCTCGCTGCCTACGAACCGCTAATCGCAACATTACATATAATTAGCTAGTTAATAATAGTCTAACTAAGGATAAGGATACTAATATAGATAAAGAGCCGTAGAGCGAGGGCGAACTACTAGAGCGTAAGCGCCGTACTAGCAATGCCTCCGATAATAACGATTAGCCTATTTAGTATCCTAGTAAGCGCGGCCTCGATAAGATAAACGACGAGGAAGAGGGCGAACTCGAGCCTACTAGCAATCGTAGTCCGCGCCGTATACTAAAGTAGAAGTACGCTCTCGCTATAAAGTACCTTACTTAGCTTAAATTACCGATAGAGAAGATATTGTTTATATAGTTTAGCAATAAGGGCACTAAGACCTATCGTAAGCGGGTATAGGCTATATAAGATATACTGCCTAATAAGCATCTTATTAGTACTATCTAGCTACGAGCTAAGGTTAAGAACTTGATTAGTAAGAAGTTCTTTAATACGTGCAAGCTAGAAGAGAGCCTTGCTACACTACGCCGCCTCTCTAAGATATATAATGTAATCTATAGTATTGCACCGAATTAGTACCGCCTACTCGAGGACTTTATACTGCCGAATACCCGTAAGGACACTATATAGCGAGCAATGTTATTCGAGGATAAGCGTAACATAATGCAGAAGCGTATCTGCATAATTACGTGTATAGTGGCATATTCGATAGCGATAAAGCGAGCCCCCTAGATGCTAAAGTCGCTTAGTCTACTCTTAGTATATATTAGCAATCTACTAGCTCCGCTTATCGACACCCTATATAGTATAGGTCTGCTTCCTTTATATAGGACCATTTAGGCGTTAATTAAGAAGAATGCTAACACCTAGCGGCTAAGGATCCTCGAGCAGGCAAAGCTGTACATTTAGTAGCTCTACTACGACAACTTTAACCGCTAGGTAAAGCGCAAGGATTAAGACATTACAGACAACAATAAACAGGTTAACATTACCAGTTCGTATATCGCCCTATGTAGTAATCTTCTAGAGGGCGGCTTAATATAGGACATGCTAGACCGGTCTAAGCCAGTACTAACTAAGAACATTATCTATAATATCGATAATAATAATACTATCGAGGCAGTCGAGATATACTAGCTCTACGAAGCCTATATATATATATATATATATATTCGGTAATGCGATTAAGGCGGTGTTTAAAGCAGCTAAGGATAGAGGCTATCTAGTCTAGCAGCTAGAGTATCCGGAAATCGACTGCAGCTTTAAAGGCAAGACCTAGTTGCTAGCTATGCCTCTATTATAGAACGACGAGATCTCTAATAAGGGTACTGCCTTAGTATACGACGACATCTACTAAAGCAACCTTAGCCTAAAGCCTAATAATCCGATATTCGACAATCGATTAATTATTAACGTTAGTAATCAGCTTACGATCGAGCGTATACTGTCTATAATCTTTAGCGGTATCGAGAATAAGGCGGTATACGATAAGAAGCAGCATATCCTTCTAGTGCCTGCTTGGTTCTATATCTTTATAAACCTATGCTTTACGCCTTTCCGTACCTACTAGAACAAGAATAAGGCTAGTAAACGCTTAGACTTCTCTCTATTATCTAATATTAACTTCTAGGGTATAAAGGAGGTTAATCCTAAATTACTAAAGTTCTTCCGTATATAGAGACTACTTAAGCGTTGTTTTAATACTCGAGTTATCGCTATACTGCTCTAGATTATAGTTAACCGTAGCTATATTACTGAGGACATTGTTAGAATAGGCTAAGGTAATTAAACTCGCCCCGAGGTTGTTAAGCAGGCTATTATCGAGAAGATTACTACTACTAAGTATATAGACATCTTAAAGGAAATGTATAAGCTACTCTTATCGCTAGAGGCATAGGATAGTATACCTAATCGACTAGCTGCTGCTGCTGCCGACGGCGCGGCACTAAATAGACTAGATGCGGCCTTTACTTCGATATATAGACTACTAAAAGAGATCTCTTTGTTTATACGTGTTCGCTATGCCGTCTGTATATAGGATATCGGTTATCTCCGTCGGTGCGTAGATTATACTATTCTAATGTTCCTC